ATATTCGAGCTTTCAACATCATCATTATTGTCATATTTTGGTAATTTACTTCTAGCTTCCTCATATGTTCCTATAATTAAAATATATTAGGTATTGATAAATAAAATATAATTTATATTAACAAACCAAATGTTTTTAATATCTCACAAGGATATTATAACCATGTTTTTTCGTTTGGTAAAACAGCCAACTTTATCATTTTTATCACTTAACATTTTTGTGGTGGCCAAAAATAAAAGTACATATTGCTGCAGTTTTGTACCCATATGTTAGGCACAATAGCAACCATGAGAGCATTTTTTTTTTTTATTAAACTGTATCTTACAAATATAAAAAAACATTTTCTTTTGCGTTTGACATAATGACTAAAACATAAAAACAATAAATAATATTAATAATTCATAATATAAAATGAAGTTTTACCAATGTAAAATTTAAGTTGCTCCAAATTCACCTAAACTATTTAGAGGAAACTTTATTGCCTTGTATAAAATTGAGTTAAGTGAAATAACCTTAAGTTCAAATGATAAATTTCTATACAAATAAGTTCCAATACTATTAGATGGTATGAGACTTGAATACAAATCAGTTACTTTTTTAAATTTATAACAAATTAAACTGATTTGATTACTAAAACTGAGCCATCAAAGCTTATGCAGCAACTATTGGCTAGGTCTATTTTTAAAACAAATTTTTCAGTTTCTACTTTTTCAAACTGTTGCCCACATATTATGCTATTCAATAAAATTCCACTAGTTTTCTTGCTAACCTTAGGATAATGTTTATTGTTTAAATTAATATCCACAACATTTGCTAAACAATTTTCAAATTTACGATTATGTAGTTGAGTAAGAACAACATTTTTTTTTTTTTTTAATTCACGTTTAAAATGATTGAAAGCGGTTTTCAAAAGTAAAAGCACTGAAGTTATCTAATACACCATAAACATGACAATCATCTTTTAAGAGTTTTAAACTATGGACATTGTAGGAAACATGTTCCTCTCCGTATAAATCACTGATTTGTTCCACAAATGATTTCAATAAATCTTCAGCATAATCATAAATGGCATGTATAAAGAAGAAACTAAGATTCTCATAGATACATGCAACATCATAAAATGTAAAAATATGTCTTGAGTTAAAGACATTCCTACGTTTTGCAAAACAACTGGTATAAAGACCAGGACGCACTCACAGAATAAAATAAACCATAGTACGTAGACACAAAGTACAAAGTAGTGCGACAACCGTGAGTGACAACGATGGTTATCAGACATTCTGACAAACGATAAGTTAAATAACAAAATACCTACATTGAACTAATAATAAATTAATAAATAATAACATAATAATATTAAGTATTAACTATTTACTATAGAGTAGAGTGTAGAGTTATTGTCACTGTAAGAAAACCACATAAGACATGATAATTATTATCTGCCGTTATAATTAAAAATTGTTATTTATTGATAAAAAATTGATAGTGAGATACAGCACCCCTCCACTAAAAATTACGTACTACAGTCTGCTACAGAATACGGTTGCCGCAAACCAGGTCCAGCACCAGTGCTGCTATAACGGCAAGCGGCTATAAAATCCTATAATATAAAATGGTAAGGAATCGGAACGGCAGCTAGTATTAATATAATACGTCTATTATACAAAAATATGCTACCTAATTCATAGACATTCCAGACTTCCATATAGACATATATACCCAAGTTTGACGTCTCGCAGCCTTGACATGTTTACTGGGGATGGTATTTATATTATACGCCTTCAGCATATTGGCGACTTTTGTTCGTTGAACATTGAATGCTAAAAGTGTGTAATAAATTCCAAATACTATCTAAAAACCAAAATCAATTGTATACGAGATTACGAGTTTCGTCTTCCCGCCGGCCGTCAGTACCCAGACATCGTATGTCAAGTTGGTTATTGTGCGCTTAACATTTTAATAGATGTAATAATAAGGAAACATCAAACAATCTCTTTAAACCATCTTCGACTAATACAGTGTTGTCTAATACAATTACTCCAATATTAAAGAAAATTCTGATAATAATTCCATTATTACTACATCACCTAAAACAAGACGTTTGGATTGTTTAGATATTGTTATACAACGCATAATCGATATTAGTCTGTTCCTAAAAAGTAATTTAAGATATACTGATAAAAATCTTGTAAGTAAATTATTACATTTATTTAGTTTTCATACATTTTTTATTGTTGAAAAAGTATTATAATTATTTTCGGTCGCTATTTTGTTAATTAGCTCGTGCATATTTTAACTAATTTATGGGTTTCGACAGGTACACATAAACGTGCATTAGTTAAAAATAATAAAACAAGAAATCTTAGATTGCAATATCGTTGGTTACAAATTATACAAGTGGTTAACATATTCAGAAATTAAAACAGTGTGGTCTTTATAAAGTATGTGTGGTTTTTTTTTTAAAAAAATTGAGAAATTGGTGATCATAATTCCTGTGTACTTATAGTAAACCTGGCTAACAGATTTAAAAAATGTTTAGAAATATTAAGTTTTTTCATACTTATTTTAAAATACAACAAATTAATTATATTATTTATTAATTTTTATAATTATAAGACTAATCAATCACGCTAATCATTAATAACACCAAATTTAATTTTATGAGATGGTAAAATTGTATTTCAATGGTACCTACTGACATTCATACTGTCAGAACTCGGTTACAAACTTGGAATTTTACTATTATACTTTGTATATGCCTTATGGTGAATTTTTAATTAGAAACTGATCCTACTTTACAAATATAATAATAATCCAGGCTAAACTTTTATTTATTTATTTATATATTAACCATTTAATAATTTTTAATTTTTATTTTATTATTTTATTAAGATAAACAAATAGGTGAAGAAAATATTTTGTTTCATCTAACAGTGATAAAGTCTACTTGAAGAAAAAACATACTGAATCAATAATTACTTAAAATATTATTTTTGTTTTTATTACAGTTTTTGTTTTCAATTACCTAAGAGTTATTTCATTTAGATTTAACGATTAATAATTGGCAATTGAGGTATATGTAAATTAATTTAGTGTAAATAAATAATAATAAAAAACAAATGCTATAATATAAAGTAGTAACATATCTCTAGGGTTAATGCTAATATGATAATAAATATTTCTCAATTGGTACCAATAGTACCTATTGAATTTCAAATTATTGTAGAAGCAGCTCCAAAATAAACAGGTGATTATGAAAATAATTGTTTACACCTCTATCAATTTAATTTTGTAACTAACTAGTCATTTTTATTAAAAAAATTTTAATTAATTCTATTCAAAAAATGAATGTTAACATTTAAGTCCTGCAACAAAAATGCACATTCTACCAAAATGTTGATGAAAATACATCAATGATTTTATTCACAGTATTCATTAATCAAGGAAAGGAATAACTATTGCACACATAAACTGTAATGATTGCCACGTGCGAATTACAAATCACGAATAACAGCAAACAACATCATCATTCGAATAGGACAATCAAGGCCAAGAGGAACCAAGTGGCGAAAACAACACAATTAAAACAGAATCAAACAGAGTATATAAAGGCTCCGTTTCACCACCAACGGCAGAAGTGTCTAGCTATCAGTACAAGCCCTTCTGAGTTTTGTCTTTGATATTGTTAGCGCGCAAATTTATAATTTGTATCTGTAAATAATTTATTTGTATTTATTAAAGTGTTTAAAAGTGTTTCAATTAATTATTAAATCAATTTATCCTACTCCAACAACATCATTACGATAGGTACCTGTTTTTATTGGGTACCACGTAACAAATATATATATATTATAATATAATAGTTATATAGTATAATGCTACAGTAGTATAGAAATCCGTAGACTTCATATAAGTACTTATCAGTCTTGTAAAGTATTTGAGTAAATGTATTTAAATAATTTTGTAGTATTTAGAATACTTTTAAAATACCTACTTTTTGATTTGAGTATTTGGGAAGTATTTTAAATATTGTTTTGGACGTATTTGTATTTGAAAATCAAATACTTTTGAAAATTCAATCGTCAGTCATCACATTTATTTATTTTTTTAAATATTATACTATTTTATATTTTATATTTTTTCACTTATTAATGTTGAGAACCCCTATAGCTGAAACTCTTCATTCGACTCCCATATTGAAGAAAGTTCTTATCAAGTATAATACTCCACTGCCGTCTAGTACTCCAGTTGAACGAATATTTAGTGTTAAGGGAGCTATTTTATCAAAAAAAAGAGGAAAAATGAATGATGAACACTTTGAAAAAACTATGTTACTAAAGAGCAACAAAAATTTTTGAAAATGATTTGTTTTAAATGCTCTGTATATCCTCTTCAACAATTATTTTATTACTTTATATTAAAGAATGGCTATAGTAGTTATAAAACAATTTTTATTTATTTTCATTTTTCAGTATAATATAATTAAGAAGGTGGTACAAAAACTTTAAGTAATACTTGAATGTAACATAATAGTATTTTAAAATTAGTTATTACAAAATTAATTTGGTTTACCGACTAGTAGAAAAGAAAGATAAAAAAGTATTTGAAAACTATTTAAATACACGATAAGTATTTGTATTTGTTCTTAAATATTTTTTTCTGAAAGTATTTGAAATTTATTTTAAATACATTCTGAATGGATGTATTTGTATCTGTATTTAAATACAATTTTAAAAGTATTTTTTACAACACTGGTACTTATTATATGTCCATGTATACATCGAATGAGATTTCGACGAAAAGAAAAGGAACATGCGATTAGGTGTGCATAAAGTAACAAATAAATATTACCTACCTACTCTATGGCACAACGTTGGAGCAAATGGACGGATACCCTTGTTTAATGTACCTAAAACATACTAACAGTGGTAACTGATTACTTTATCAGTGCCAACCGTTAACAACGAGACTTCCTCGTTGAGTTATTCACCACACCATGTATTTACAGCAACTGCCGGTCCGAACATAAATTCCGTCTGTTTTATGTTTTAACAAAACATTTTTGAATTAGTCTTTACAAAAAAGGTGAGTTATTTTTTAGAATATTACACATTAGCGTTTAATTCTAGTGAATCGCTTATGGTGCGTTGACCCTCAGGCAAGGCGTGAGGATAAGGCGACTCAGGTAGTCGCCTAGGGTGCCATTTTCAGGAGGGTGCCAACAATTTTTTTTACATGGTTATGTTTTATATGGTTATGGTTATATGTCAGTAATATTATTTTTTTTCTTTTTTTTTTTAATGTAAAATCCCTATAACTTTATATTGAAATATTGATAATAATTATGGTTATTTCGTTTAACCATATATTAAAATAATTTAAATATATTTTAAGTATATTTACTATGGTTAAGCGTAGAATGTTTTATTGTATATGTTGCTATAATTCCTAAATATTTGTTATCGTTCAATCGGGATCACGTCAAGCCGTTGTGACTTGTGACTAAAAAATTAGACGATAACAAATTATGTACAAGTTGAGCATAATATATCATTTTTTCTAAGTATAATGATACTACAGATTTTTGTATGAAAAAGATGCCGGTTGGCATTTTAGCCTCGGGCGTCATTTAGCTTCACGCCGGTCCTGCCCTCTGGTATATTAACGTTTTATCGGTAAACGTTTTCTTGTGATATTTCATATAGGACATTATGTTAATTTTAATTATTCTTCTACTGTCGTATGAAAAGTTTCAGTTAAATATGCATTTGAAAAAATAAATATTAATGTTTTCATTGACACTTAAATCAAAACGATTTTATATTGTTTTTCCAATCGGTAATTTTTTTTTTTTTTGCATTAAATATTTCCAATTGATCTTACCAATATCATATAACTCGTACATGACTGTATACGTATCACAGTATATTATATTTAGTGATGTATATTTATATTTATAATTTTTATCTTTATTATTGATTTTTTAATTTTTTTTTTTTAGTGTCCACATAATTCTGTAAACGGTACTGTATACAACAATTATTTCATTATTTACCTATGCATAGTTTTCAATTAATGGTTAAAATTAATACATTTTTAATTATATTCATAGGTATTTATATATTTAAAAATGTGTTTTTTTTTTAATTTAGGATTATTTTACATTGTTAGAATAACTGCTCAAAATAGGTGTATGAATTATTTAAAACCATATGGTTCAATGTTATTTAATTAATAATCATATTAGCCAAAGCCTAACTCCTTTTTTTATGGAATTATTACGAACAATTGTATTTTATGTTTGTACTGTTATACTGTTATTTATTATTTTAATATTCATTAAAATTAGTATTTTTAATAAATTCATATTTTTATATTGTTTTGTTAAGGTCATATGGCCGATGACAATCCATACGTGCAATCTATTTATCGGCAAATTGTTACTGAACATTTTCAGTCAAACGAATGGAAAGAAATTTTAATTAATCCTGAAGGTGCTCCAACTACTTTGCGTGATGAAAGCACATTACCCCGATCAGGTGGTCACTGTTTTAAAGACATTCCTAACCGTTTTATATTCTGGCGAGTTTTATATGATAAACTTGAATTAATTGAACACAGTTTGGATATAAATCTTACCGAAAATCAGGTGCGTATACTTTTCCGCAATTCTCCTGTTTTGGACAGTGGAATCTCAGTTTATGAAACTTCAGAATCAATCGTTTTATTAGTACCTACAGTATGTAGTTGTCATCGATTAACATTTCCAAAACCAATTCGTCAAGAAAATAAATCTTATAATAAAAATGTATTGACAGAGGCATCAATTTTCTCAAACTTTCACTTATCATCCATCGATAATCCTACTACATTTTGTTCATATAACGCAGAACTTAGTCATCCATATTCAGCCGCATCATGTTTACATCAAAATTATGATGCTATTTTTATAATAGCTCTACAGAACAATGCCATGCTTTACATACGTTTAAAATACATCTCTGGGCTACCTACCTTAAAAAAAATTTGTCAAGAATCTGCTGTACCTCGAATGTTTTCAAATATAACTAAAATATTTTCTGCGCATATTGACTATCCCGTTATTAACAGTTTAGCTGTTCATCCATTTGAACAAGACATTTATGTATACTCTCTGGATGATGCTTGTGATTTAAAAGTTTGGTCTGTTAATAAATCTATTTATATTCATATAATGGATATGAAAAAAATATATGCAACATCAACAGAAAATGGTTCAAGACCACATATTATTCATAAATGTTTTGAAGATAAACTTTTATTAACTATTTACCTTAGTTTATCGGAAAGTTCCAGATTTGTGGTTCTTGAACCATGCATTGACCATGGTATGTTTAAACTTCAACAACATTTTTATGTGTACTCACCTATGAAAAGTAGACTAACTGATATGGCATTATACGGTGATGAAATTTGGTGTAATTGGAGAACTGGAAAGGATATTGCCTGTATCAAATCCATAAGTATAAGAAATGGTAGATGGAAAAACTGTATTTTGGATACAATTGATTTTGAACAACCTACTCAATTTTCAATTAATTCAAAAGAAACTTATTTGGATCAAATATTTTCATCCACATCTTATTTCACAGAAGATGATTTGAAAAACGCTATTGCTGTTTATGATACATCTGATAACTGTGACATTATTATTGATTATCGTACAAAGATAAGTAATGCAATTGATACAAAAGTATATCGGGAAATGGACAAATATGACTCAACTGATACAGAGACACAAATGCTACTTGTTGAACAATGCAGTGCTAGTTTTTATAAAAGCTGTTTGGATTACCGCCGTAAAAGATTAGCTCCTATTGGACTAATATGGCTGGGCCCACCATCTTTTTTAATGCTTGTTGTAACAAATTCAAGTTTTTGCTTTTTACGGCCATCAGATAATGTTGAAGAAAATATATATTCAATTTATAATCTTGAACAAAAAACCGAATTCAATAAGTTACTTAATACACTGATGTCTGAACCAAAAAACAATTTTAACTTGTTTTTAGATTTAAATTTATCTTCTAATTGTTTTTTGGATTTAGTTAGAAAATATTATGGTTATGACACCAATGATCCAAATGTAGAATTATTTTTAAATGGATGTAATATAACTAAAAGTGTTCGTATATTAATTGAGATGCTACATGCTAATCCAGGAGCAATCAAAAACATAAAAAATAATCAATATTCTAATTATTTCAGAAGTAAATTGGGTATCAGTGTTGTTTTTCATAGTTTTCATCAAATTATCATAACACGTTTTGACTTATGTTGTAGACTATTCACATTAATGGAGTTAAGCTCTAAAAGTTACGGACAAACTAAAGAATTTGTTACTGATATTTGTAACCTTTTTGCTAGTTATAGGATTCTGGCATTTTTTTTACATGATGTAAAGCTATATAAAAAAATGATTATAACTAATAAATTGTTGGCCAAAGGACCATTTATGGATTATATTAATGGTTTGTTTTACTATATATGGCCACTTGTAAATGGATCTAATCTGGTAAAATTCTTACTTCAAGAAAAGCAATACAATTTCATACATCAAATGGCTCAGTTATTGGACTTTAAAAATTGGGAAGAAATATTGATTATTTCATATATATTAAATAATGAACCAGATAAAGCACTCCAAGTACTTAAGAATAACATTAAAAACGAAACGGAACATTTTCTTAAAGCAATCACGCTGTTTGGAAAACACGGTTACCATGATCATGCTGTACAACTTGGAAACCATGTATTAGAAATGTCTATACATGATAGAGGAAAAAACATGATATCAATGTTTCACTCTCATATTTTTCTTAATAATTTAAAGCTGAAAGCATATCAAAACGCATACAATAATATTATATGTTTGAAGGATCACGATCGAAAGTTGAATTGTTTACATACATTTGTGTTGACTTTATTAGAAAATGGTGAAAAAGATAAACTTTTGAGTTTTAAATTTTCTGGTTTACAAAGTTCAATAGAAGATATAATTATAAAAAAAGCACGATCTTTATCGAACGCTGATGCTGCTCCTTTCTATATGTTTTTATGTTCAATGCTTGAAAAATATGGAAAGTACAAAAAACTCGCTATGACATTTTATGAATTATATTTACGTGCAGATACATGTGTAACTCAAGAACAGTTTATAAGATTGTCACTCTTACATTTAGAAATGCTTAAACCGAATGATGCTTGGTTTGTTACCGTGTTATTACCTATCGATTCGAAGACTGATGCGATTCATAATGAATTAATAAAAATTGAACATTTGAAAAAGATATGTTGCTTAGTTCGCGCTCGTCAGCAAATTGATGAATCTGCAATCAATATGGATGTGAAAAGTGTAGTTTCGGTATTAATAATGAAACATAAATACAGAGAAGTATTGATTTTATCTAAAGTGTGGAATTTACCTATTTATTATCCAATGAGAGAGTTAGTAAAAACATGTTTGAATCTCACTAATTCTGATAAATGTGACAAATCATGGCGTTGGCTAGCTGACAACGGAGTTAGTGATAGTGGTGTTGATTGCGAGAAAATTGCTTGGCGCTTTTTAGAAACATTAGTTGAGAGATATGAAGAAGAAGGAAAAACATTGATACATTTACATGTAGCTGATGAGCTACTGAAACATAATGCATTTTTACCTTGCTGGCTTGTCAAAACATTAAATGAAAGAAATGTTGGTGAATTATTACAACTGTACTTGAACTATGGGGAGTTGATTAACTGTGCCGATATAATATTTAAACTTATAGAAAAAGAAATGAGTAGTGGTGAATATAGTGTAGATTCATTTGGTGATGCAATACCTGTAGATATCATAGAATGTGTAATATCAAATCTAAAACATCATCAATTACAAATTGGAGATGAGCTTTTAAATAAATATAAAATATTTTATGATAAAATTGTAAAACATGAAAATTACAATTTATGTAATAGATTATAATATATATGTATTTGTTTGAATAAATTTGTAGCTATGAACTAATTTAAATATAATATCAAAACAAATTAATTAATTATTATCAATATATATTATTTCATTTATAAGGTGACTGACAGTTATAATATTTACATCTAAATATTATTTTAAGGTATAATTTTAATAATTTGATATATTATAATAATTAGTGGATTTCCATAACTATATAATGTTGACAAAATAAATTTATATAGATGTGTTTATATTTAATAGTGTTCTTCGATTCATACATTGTGCTTTTTTTTAATATTTTTCTAATTTTGAGTTTTAACCTATATATATATAAACATTTAATACAACATTTTGGCTCAATTTGAGTCCTATATTTAAATAATTTTCCTTATGTTTTAACGAATTATAAAGTAAAACATGGGTTTTTTTTTTTATAATTTAAAAAATATATTCTACAAATAATATGGTGTATTGCCTCTATTTTTTAATTGTATATTAAGTATTATTAATTAATACCTTATATTTACATTATTATTTGATATAATATGAATCTATTATGCAATTTTAATCATATAACATTTTTTCCGTTTTTACTAAAAAAGAGAAAAAGAATCCATTCAAATATTCAATTGTTATTTATTTATTTATTAAGAGTTAACACCCGCGAGGGGCAAGAGTATAGTTAAGTTATTATTATAATCTAAAACAATATTAAAATATCCCACATAGCAATATTGTATTTTTGAAATATTATTAAAATGTTTTAAAAATATTCATTCATGGTTGTCAAAAAGTTTTAAAATATTATCACAATATTTTAAGATCATCATTTGTCCAATGAATAAATATTATGAACATATCTAACGACAATATTTACCATATATATTGATGATATTATTTTGGAAATATTTTACTACCATATTAATCAAATATTATAAATAATATTTTGAAAATTATTTTCCAACAGCATAGATCAAATAATAATTTTAAAATATTTTTAAAATATTTGTATAATAAAATCATAAAAACAATTATTTTTTATGATGCTTCATAAATTTATTTATTTATTATAACATCTTGAAAAAAATATAAAAATTTACTTATTATAATTTAACAATTTAAAACAATATAGTAAAAAAAATAACAAAAACATCTTATTGAGTCCTTCTTTTTTCAGGTGTATAAATATATTAAAATTAAAAAATAAAAATTATATGATAAAAGAATAATCATACTAAAAATAATAAAAAAAAACTTTTTTAAGTATACAATTTTTTAATTTACTTCTTTTACATTTATTTATTATAACATTCCCACACAGCAATTGAATGTATTGCACATATTCTTACAAAATTTACTAAAAACATGAAAACGTTGCTACAATGTTTTTTTTCAATGTAATTTAGGTATTTAAAATATTGTCACAACATTGTGACAACGGTCTATGGCAGATAATTCTATATTTCAACAATGACTTTTTGCAATATTGTTTTAATTAGGTTTATCAATATTTTTAAAAGATTCCTTTAGAATATTTGCTAGATGTTTTTTTAAAGTATCGAATATAACTTATTTTTTTCCAAAATAAATATAATATATGTATATGTCGTAGGCCATGTGGAAAATTAGTTTTTTGCAAAAATACTAGGCTCTTTGCATACATACTAATTTCAGTTAGACCTTTTAAGAACTATTTAGAGAACATTTAATGGTAAAAACCTTTTTATTATTTTATTTTAAGGGTTATTGATAATAACACAGTAAAAATATGTAACATAAATGTATAACATGTAACATTATTATTTATTACTTATTACTTATTAATTTTGTACAATTGTTGACCATTGAATTGCTAGTTTTATTATATATTACTAACAAAAAAACAAAAAAAAAAAAAAATATAAAATATTAAATTAAATTAAATTAAATTGAAATATTACAAAAAATATTACATTACAATATTAAATATTATATAAAGTATATAAGTATAGTATATTTTTTTGTCCACAACTTTGCCAATATTATATTATAAATATCTACTTTTGGAATATTGACTAAAACATAACTTCCAACTCATAAACTGTATTAATACCGTATTTATAAGATCATATCAATCGTGTACATTTCAAATTTTTGGTATTTACCTACATTAGTAGATTAAATTAGTACATTACAACCGGCTATTTTAAGGATTTAGATACGGATTGACGACGTATACTTAATAATTGATAGAATCTACAAGATAATAACTAATCTGTAGATTAGATTACAACTTTTCACCGTACATATTTTTGTCGGCATACTGTAGGTAGGTGGATACTATACGTTAGTAAACCGTGTGTATTTCAACGTATTCGTTAATACTTACGAGTGCGTAATATGGAAAATATAACAGTAATGAACAAATTTAACAATGAAGTTACTAATTATTATAAAAATAAAACGAACGCAGTTAAACAACCATACACAATTGCTACAATATCTGATGCTGTTTCTGAAATAGCAGCTTTTAAAATACCAGGAACCAAAAAAAAAATAGTAAGCAATATAGACTTATTTAAAAATATGATATTATGGAAGTGGGTGATTCAAAATATTTGATAAAAAAAAGAAAAAACATGATAAGGTTGTTCGATTAGTACAACGTGAGAATTTTTTTTTAAATCTTAAATACGATTCATAAAAATATTGGACACGGAGGTCGTGATAAAATGATGTATGCTCTAAAAGATAAATATTATATTCCAAAACCTGTTGTTCTGATATTTTGTAAGTTGTGCAATGTTTGTAATTTAAAAAAATCTCAACAGCATAAAAACATTGTTGTAAAACCTATATTATCCAAAGATTTTAATGTTCGTGGACAAGTTGATTTGATTGATTTTCAATCGACACTAAGTGGTAGTTTTAAATTGCTTTTGAATTGAATTGCTTTTGATCACGCTACAAAATATTGTCATTTAAGTCCATCACAATCAAAAAGAGCTTCAGAAGTAGCATAAGAGCTTCTTAAGATATTTTTACAATTTGGAGCGCCTTATATATTACATAGTGATAACGGTCGAGAATTTACTGCAACTGTAATAGAGGAAATGACAAACTTGTGGCCTGAGTGTAAAATTATTCATGGAAGGCCTCGTTATTCGCAATCTCAAGAAAGTGTAAAGCGCTGTAATCAAGACGTAGAAAACATGTTGAGGGCATGGATGATAGACAATCAAAGCACAGATTGGGGAATGGGGTGTTATTTTGTACAATGGCAAAAAAATTGCTCATAACATTGAATAATTAACAGAAGTCCTTATAAAGCATTATTTGGAAGTGTACCAAAAATAGGACTTTCAAGCAAAAATTTACCTAATGATATCTTATAGTCAATTACAACAGAAGAAGATTTAAATGAGTTAATTAATACTGAAGTAAGTGATGAAGTAGATAGTCACGAAGAAGAAGATATCGAAATAGATAACGAAAAAACTAACGAAAAGGATAATAATATATATGATTTTAAAAATTGCATTTCTAAAGTGTCTATCATAAACAAAGGATCTTTGTGCGACACGTGTGTAAAAGAAAAACAAATTCAGAAAGAAAGAGTAGAAGCTTTTGAAGGACAAAAAAAAGCTGCAGAAAAAATGATACAAGCTAGTGATAAGAAATTAGTTATAATTGAAGTTGGGAGTTATGTTTTAGTTAATATTCCAAAGGTAGATCGTGGACCATTAGACACACAAAATATAATTGGCAAAGTTGTCGATAAAAAAAAAATAACGTTTATCAAATCGGTACACGATTTGGAATTATAAATACATGGCTAAGCAGAAATGTATTACAGCAGTGCTTCCCAAAGTTTTTCGACTCATGGCGCCCTTTTTGATTTAAGGTTTTTTCAGGGCGCCCTTCTCTAAGTCATAGCATGAATAATCATAAGGAAAATGTTAGATCCAATAGTATTTCATGACGGCGCGGCGCCCTTATACAGACATCACGGCGCACCGGGACGTCACGGCGCACACTTTGGGAACCTATGTATTACAGACAACCGATGCAGAATTTCTTGACGAAGTACCAAATACAATGATGACACTAAGAGAAATAGCGAAGAAACATTATCAATTTGGAAGGCAGGGTTATCAAAAATGTTTTTGCTAAACATCGTGCAAAACAAATAGATGCGCTTGTCGGAAAAACAATGTACTGTGTAGCTCAAGATGTCACGAAAAAACCACATGTAGGTAACAATAAATAAATACCTTTATATTATATTTAATAATATTGTAATGTAATATTTTTTATATTTTAGTCAATATTCCAAAAGTAGATATTTATAATATAATATTGGCAAAGTTGTGGACAAAAAAATATACTATACTTATATACTTTATATAATATTTAATATTGTAATGTAATATTTCAATTTAATTTAATTTAATTTATTATTTTACATTTTTTTTTTTATTAGTAATATATAATAAAACTAATAATTCAATGGTCAACAACTGTACAAAATTAATAAGTAATAAGTAATAAATAATAATGTTACATGTTATACATTTATGTTACATATTTGTACTGCGTTATTATCAATAATCCTTAAAATAAAATAATTAAAATGGTTTTTACCATAAAATGATTGTAGTTCTTAAAAGGCCTAACTGAAATTAGTATGTATGCAATGAGCCTAAAAAATAGCAAACTGTTTGAAAAAACAATAAGTAATTCTTAAAAGGCTTATCAGCTGTTAGTCTGTATGCAATGAGCCTAAAAAACAGCAGGCTGTTTGGAAAAATAATAAGTAGTTCACAAATGGGCTACCCCATTGCAAAGAGCCTTGTCTTTTTGCAAAAAAAACTCATTTTTCATATTGCCTACGACATATATATAAACATGATTTGTTATATAGTATGGGCAGGACTTCATCAAATACATTTTACACATATAGGTGTAATACTACTGTACATATGTATATAGTTTCACAAATTAATTCTTATCAAAATAAACATATAAGTTTTATATTTTGTCTTCACTTTTGGCCCAATAAAATGCCGATGCCTTTATCGTTTATTTTAAAATACTATAATAAATATAAACTTTTATGCACAATGTTGCAAATATGCAAACATTTAATATCAATCAAAATATCTATAAAATTTTATAGTCAAGTTAATAAAAATATTAAAGTAATAAACTACATAGTAATTTACCATCAATGCAATTAGTTAGAACTTAATGTTGAAAAAACAATCAAAATAAACTGATAAACTTCACCAGTATCCACAAAATTGATTATCACAATGGTATCAACAATAACCATGAATAATGAACAAAATTAATAACCAAAAGATATTGAAATATAAAAATAACTCATATTTAATACACTAAAGCACATTTATTTAACAAAAAATAACAAAATATTGTAACCAGGAAACAAACTGCAACGCATTAAAGGGTAAATAATGAAAAAAAGAATTTTGACTTTGAGAATTCTTTATTTAAGTTTAATTAGTCCAAATTAAATGAAAAATAAATAGAATAAATAAAAAAAAAAATTTTAACTGTGTAATTAATGTTATCTACATCGATAATACACTTTCTTTTTAAACGATTGCTTGCTTGTGCCATCCATTTGCTAATAACCAATGCAATTTCCATTTCTGGTACTTTTTCAAACTTAGAGCGTAGATGAATTGCTTCTATAGAAATTGTACATTTAAAACTTAAAATACACATATTGTATAATGTATGCTAAGCATATGATTCTTACCAAAAATAATCTTACAATAACCGAGAGATGACAATTTATTTTTACCTTTATGTCCAATATAAGAATAATTCTTGAGCCATGTATCATCATATAATTTTTGCATCATACGGCGAACAGATTCTGATATTGATTTACCAATTAATCTGGATAAATTGTTAACCTTAATACAAAAGAATAATTAATATTTCTATATGAATATATAATATATACATACAACATGATATAATATTTTAAATAAATAGAAAAATTATTTTCGACACCAAAACAACACTTACTACTTGGGACCATATTGTATTATTTTCAAGTTCAGTTTCAACATTTTCAAAAGTTTGCTCGTTTCTGATAGGAACATTTTAAGTATTTAATATATTTAAAATACTGTGACTATTTTCATTACTTAGTGATCCAGAGGTATTCAAAACAATGACAACATGTTCCATCATACTTTTGATTTCATTGACAGTATATACTAAATTTTTAATATCAAATTTAATATTAGTCAAAGAAGTCTTTGTATTATCATAAAATTCTGTAAAATTAAGTATCAATAATATTATTGACTATTAAAAATAACATTTGATATTATAAATTAAAGTATAATATTAAAATATGACTTACGTTTAAACTCATAAGCAAGATGAGACATTTTTTTTAAACACAAATCTGTACCAGCAACTTCTAATCCACTTATTGAAAAAATATCATTTTCTGTAAAATCTAAAATAATCAAAATTATAAATAAAATATTATTTATAATCGTATACTGCAGAAATGAATAATTTTCTTAAAAATAACTGACCGAAGAATGATTAACTATATGCTTTCTATACGTGGGGTATGCTAAATAATCCATACCATCCACTTATTTTAAATTTAAAAATTACATATTATGCAAGATTATTATAGTATATAATAATTATTATTATAGCTTATTTTAATGTATCTTATTTTAAACATGTTGTGTAAATATTTCTTATACAACATTTATACAACTATCTAGAATAAAAATTGAAAATTAGAATAAACTATAATATTGGAACAATCATTCTAAGAAAATATTGACAAAATGTTTTAATTATGTATTTTATAAAAATATTTCCATTGCATATTAAAAATACATTGTACTAATAATAATTAAACCAACATGTTGCCAAAATATTTTTGAAATGTGATATGAATATTTGTTAAACAATATATTCCTCATAAATGTAAAACACATATTGCCCCAATGTGTAATTTATTAATATTTTAAGGAACATATATGTTAAATATTTAATATGTTTAAATTGTCATGTGGGTTAAGAAAAAATTATACAAATTTACTTATTATAATTAAATAATTTAAAACAATATAATAAGAAAAATAACAAAAACATCTTATTGAGTTCTTCTTTTTTCAGGTGTTTAAATACCTATATTAGAATGATAAAATAATAATTACATGATAATAGAATAATCATACTAGAAATAATAAAAAAACTTTTTAAAGTATACAATTTTTTAATTTAACATTTTTTCTGAATTTTTTTTTATTGGTGAAGGAGCTTGTGCCATCCAACTTTTAATTGGTTTTTTAATTTCTTTGATTGTTACTTCTTTAAATATTTTCATTTTTAAAATCGCTTCTAAAAGAAAAATATGAGAGTATAATATAGAATAAATGCATAATATATTATTCCCATACATTTTTTTGAATAAATAAAATAGTTTTTTTTTTTATTATTTTTATACAAAAATGAATTTTTATGAAAACTGTTTAAACTTATGTATATTACTATAAATTTATGTAATTTACAATCTAAAGATTGTACATTTGTAAAGATTAACATTAAAAATTTTATTATACTTACTAAAAACAAAAATTAGGTACTAAAAGATATTAATTATATATTAGTACCTATATACACATCTTAAATACATAAAAAAAAAATATACTTGAAATACTTGCCTATTATAACTGCATAATGTTGAAGATTTGAAAATGTTAGTTTACCTTTAAAACCTACGAAGGAGTAGTATGCCAAAAAATTATCTGTAAATAATTTTTGCATAATTTTTCTCACCGTCTCTGATAAATTGTCTCCCATGAACCATGTTAATAGAACAATCTAGAAGATAGACTTATTAATAAAATAAATATAACTTACAGTATATTATAACGTAGATTTAAATTACCACATAAGCTTTATATTGTTTGTCATTGGCAAGTTTATCTTCCATTTTTTCAAGATCATCATTGTTGTCAATGCGGATTAAATCATCTTGATATTTATCAAATACATTATTATCTAATATGGAAAATATAGTATTGCTATTCAATTTGTCATTAATTGTTTCGAACAGTGGCGCACACACACGTGGGGGGGGAGTAAAGGGGTAACCCCCCCCGAAATTTTTTTTGATGTCTAGGTTAAAATTTACAAATTTTACAAATTTGAAATATGAAGAGCTAGTATTGAATACCTAGTATCATTAATTATAGAATAGTCTTTATTATCAATGCTATTATTTAAGTCAAAATATATTAAGTATTTGCATAATTTTGTTAATTGTAAAATGTGTTATATATTTACCTTGAAAACTATTTTTAATAATTCGACAGTTCCCATCACTAGATATTATTCAATATTTCGTTCAAAACATTTCCATTATTTAGATCGAGTGACCTCCCAATTATGACAGTAACTCGTATCTCGATTATTAATATTTCAATTGAACATTTCGAATAATTATTTACAAGAATCTCTCGATTACTAATATTTCGATTATGCCTATCACTAATTCAGCTCAAATATCGGTATTTTTAGACCTTAATACAGTCAGTCGAGAAATCAATAAATCAAAACTAGATTACAGCTCATTAAATTTAGAATTTACACAAGTTTTTGCATTGAGTTTATTTAGATCTTGTGATGATTTGGAAGACGAAACCTTCTGAGTATTTTGACTTATAATGAGATGAACAGTAACAGAGAGATAATAGGTAAAAAGCTCCCCAATAAACATAGAGTATGCAATTGAAAGTGCAGCTACATAGTAACGTTCTTCGGTTGTAAAGTTGAAAAACTGTCTTCAGAAATTGGTGCGTGCAAATTTCGACGGCCAACTGTGTTATAGGAGAAAACTTGATGTGATAAGAAAAATAATATTCATCGAAAAGTTGCAACAGCACTAGCAGTAAAGTTCTGATTTTTCTTAATTCTTTGAAGATAAAAAACTGATTCGATGACCATTGGAACACGAAATTCGTAAAGCAAATGGTCCGAATTAAAACGAGCTAACGTAAAGCAAAGTTAAATTTCAAAAACAAAATTAGCCCAGAGAAAGCAAGTATACAGTAACTGTTATCACTGTTCTATATCATTACTTATATACTTATATACTACATCATTAGTTATCTGAAAAATAAGTTTCTAATATTAAAAATTATGTACCTAATGAAAAAAAAGAAAATTTATTTTTATTATATTATAATTTGTTAATTAAAAAAAAAGTATTAAACGAGTTTCATTTATAAGTTATATTTTAGTATTAAAGAATCTCGATTATAGACGAAATAATAAGTGTTATATTAATATTATTTATTTGGGAGGGGAGAGCATAAATTATATGCCCGAAGGCACCAAATTTTGAAATACGGGCCTGGTAATATTTAAATATAGACATAAAATATTTTAAGTATTAAAAAGGGTGTAATATAATATTATGAATGATGATAAGTATTATTTATTTCTAGAATATATTGGCGGTGCTAAACATCCTTTTAGGAGATTTTAGCCTATGATAAGCGAGCACAGCGAGCTGCAAATTTTTTGATCATACAAAAAAAAAAAAAAAATGTGGGTCGCTCAAACCTTCTCCACCCTGGCCGAAGTACCTACTCTCAGTCCACCTCAGAACAATACCTATTATTAATGACATTTTTATAATGAAATATCAATAACATTAAAATTTAAAACAGAACCTGATACAGTTGTGATTAATTTACTTTACTTAGTAGTATATAATAGCATTATTTATTTATTTTATACCAAGTCTGTCAAACCAACTATAAGGAACTAAAAGTAGCTGTAATGGATAGGGATAAGTGGAGAGCCATCAAAGTCATTTAACCAATCTAAAGATTGAAAAAAAAAAAAAAACCAAGTCTGTCAGCTCTTCTTCTAAGTATCATTATTATAAAAAGCACTCTATACAGCAATGATAAGGTGTCATTTTTAATATTCTAACTAAGCAAGTATATTAAATCAAAAATCCGTGAACAAAAATAAAAAAACAAGAATAAAAAGATAAATTATAACTTAAACAAAAATCTCTACAATGACAAAATATTACCTTTTTTGGTGATAATTCTGCTAAAGGTTGTAAGTTATAACAAAATGGATTACATTTGATTGCTTTAAATTATCAGTGAATTCCTATTATGGGTAATTTTAGATTCTAAAATGTTTTATTTCTACTGCTGAATAAAGCTTTATCCTATACAAAGATTTTCTCAATCCAAAATCATATTTTTTTTTTTCGCTTATAGTTAAGTTCTAACTTGCTGTCAATGCTAACTTTTATAACAGATATGAAATTTGGTAAAATTGTTAAGAAATTTTCTTTACCTGTAATATAATAACTATAGGCTTAACTCATAGTCATTTTTTTTTTCAATTATTTTAACAAAAAAAAAAATATAAATTAAAATTGGAATCACAAAGTATTGTCTAATGCCTGTCTTTACATATGCAGACTCCAACAAATCCATCTCTACAATGTTTTAAACTATTTAATTTTATTTATAATTGTATAATTTATTTTATAACTTAACTGTATTATATAAAGATTTGTTATTGTGCTCTGTAATTTAATATTATTTAAGTTATTACTACACTAATAAACTAATAAAGTAGGTATATCAAAATTAATATTTATTTAATTTTTGTCTGTAAATGTAGATTTTAATTACTAATGTATAAACTGAAATTTAAGCAGGAATTAAAGAAAACAAAAATATTCATATATTAATTTATAAATATGCAACCATGGTTGTTCAGCATTCAGTTCATTTTTTTTTCTTGAAATCTTGTTCAGGTTTTAATGTAGAGCTTAATTACCAATAAATATTTGCTTATAATTATTAAACAAAATTTGATCAGTTAAAACAATATTTTAAGTTTGATTCAATAATGAAAATTGGGATATAAAACATCACCAGTATTTTTAGGAAATTATATTTACAGTCCTAGTTATTAATGTTCGGATTATTTATTTATTACAAGTGGTTTTTGTTACTACTAAAATATAAATTAAAAAAGTTAAAACAGAACTTTTGAAAAAACAATATTTTTATCTAAAGTGATATATTAAAAAAAAAATTCTTTACAAATTTGTAGTATAAATGGGTGCTAAAATAATACAATTACACGTTAACTTGGAAAAATTATTTTTATTACAATATATAACTTGGATAAACATAAATGAAAACCTGAAAAAAGTGAACTACAAATCCTTTGACAATTTCTGAGGAGGTTATAAAAACTATAATAGATGAAACTTTTTTTCTGGCTGTAATTTATACTTATAAACATAGTTAAATATAGTGAGAAAATATATTTTTACAATTAATTAATGAAAATATTTCAACTGATAAATTATAAATAAAGTTCTGAGTGTGTTGACAAAATATAAAAAAAAATCATACATTCGAGTAAATATGCCTTTTTTTAAAAATAACTAACACTCTTCTTCGTAGAAAAAAATATTTAGTGTAGTTGGCTGCAATATGTGGGTGGAGTGAAAATGAAAAACCTCCAGTCTTGTGATCAATTACAATAAAAAGAGTTAGATTGATTAAATGTAATCCCTTATATGGAATGGTAATTAAATAGCGTTTTGTTGATTAGAGTACAATGAAATAGACGGGCCCTTATACGGAGCCACGTCGTTCCAATAACCTTTGTGCTGGGAAACGACGGTCAGTTGTAAGCCTTTGCTGGTGTGCATTTCCTTGAAAAACCTGCAACGGCGTGGGCCTGTTTCCGGGGCGCAAGTGTCGTACGGCGGTACCAACAAGTCGAAGATCGCGGCCGGACCGTCGACGGTTTCCACCTGATGAATGTTGCCGTGCTGCGGGCGCAACACGTTCGTGTAGTCATCGGGCCCCATGATTACCGGAGCGAGTTTTTCAGCACCGACGTGGGTCACCCTGCGGACGGCAAAACAATATTTCCGGTTACCGGTGCGCGATACGGTTTGGGGAGGGGACAGAGAGGGGCACTGGAAAACAGTGCTGTCCGCTGTTGTCACACTCACCTGGTCCGGTTGCAGTCCAATTGCTGGGTGTTGAAGCTTTGCACCCTGATACGGCCGGCCAACACCTTCATCAGTCCGTGCATATGCGGATGGTCGTGCAACGGTATCCGGGCCCGGTCCCTGAGCACGAACACGCTGGCGGCCATCAACCGATCCTCGTACACGTTGATGTAGGTGACAGGCGTTTGGCGACGGCGCACGGCCGCGGCCACCGACGGACCCGCAAAGTTCTCGGCGTCCTCGGCGTCCAGCTGGTACATGTCGCTGTGCAACAGCCTCGCGTCCAGACCGACGTCGCTCGCAACCAGCCCGTTGAGGACGGTCGTCAGCGCGGTCAACCGGTCTTGGAAACCGTCCGCGGGCCCGTAGAACGTGTCCATGGCCTGGCGGAGCACGCGCTCGACCTTGTTGCTGGGCTGCATACTGGCGTCGAACGTTCGGCACTCGGAACCGTCCGGGTAAGATGTCGGGCCCGCGTTATCACGTTCGTCAGCCTTTATCAACTCGTCGCAAAGCAAGTCGCGGCAACGTTTCCCTTGCGCACCGCACGATCACCGTACCGATCCGACCGCGTTCGAGTTAACCCCACCGGCCGAGCGCGCGAATCACACCACGTACAATGGACCGGACGCGTCAGGGCTGGAGGGTGTGAAACGTTGCGGAACGGCCGATGCACGTATGACGGTTATTTTTATAGCTACTAGCGCCGTCATAGCGGACACTCGTCGAACTAAATCACAACATCACCAATACCCGCTTGCTAACTTTACACGGTAAAACGCGAAGATAAGCGACTTGCCCGAATAACCGGTTCAACGCGTACGCAGGTGGAATTCTATTGATCTGAACACAGTGCTCGACTTGGCAAGATTAAAGAACGGGGACTCCGTTTGCTTAAAAAACTCGATAAGCGTTATAATTATAACGTAATAATAGTAGGGGGATGCTAAAATTTCTAAAAATTAGAAGGGGTGCTCCATCACCCTGCGTCCACCCACAAGTCGAACACTGACTAAACACCGAACAGCGAGGAAGCACCAATAGCCTCTTAGCGCTAATAAATAATTATATTATCTATAAATTATAGATTATATATATTATTATTTATATATTTATATATTTATATATTTATTATTATATATATTATATTATAGATTATATATATAAATATATAATTATGTAATAGATATTTAAAAATGTATAGAAATATTTTTATTTTTATTGAAAATACTCGTATATTATAGCGTTTTTTATATTTATTGTTACAAATTTAAGGCCACAAAATGTAAAACCTATAAATAGTTATTTCGATGGAAACACATTATTTTAGTCATTTTTACGACGGTCACCGTTCCAGTGAAACTAACGACCGACAGTAACACGTAACTAATGGTTTGTGTTCTTGTCATGCCGTTGTTAGTCGCTGCACATCGTCATCTAAGAATTCGCAAATAAAAAAGAAATTGCAGGAGTGAATTAGTTTATAAAAAAATATACCATTAAATTAAAAATATTAAATAAAGCATTGAGTACAATTAATTTTTCAATAAAAAGGTTTTTCATGTCGTTGTTGCATGGAATTAAATTAAATAATTTAAGTCTCCTCGGAACATTTACTACGAGCCGATATCGCAAATTACAGCATAACAGTATTTCGATACATTTCAAATGAGCAAACATTAGCACTATTCGCGATTGGGTGATTAAATTGAATACGAAAGTGGAATAAACAAATATTATAATTATGAGTTACATAATTATTCATCTATCGTTAATTTGACCGTTTATTCTAACGCAATTACAACGTCAACTGTTAGGTTTTTATCAATGGATTTTTACTCGATATTTATCATGTAAGAAAATAATCGTTATCATGGAGCTAAGAATTAAATTTTTTCACTAGCGCCGCGTTCTAGAAAGTCAAATCTGGTAATTTTTCTGTCTACAAGCAGGGCCTTTGCAATGAGGTAGGACTAAAGATGCCTACGCTCCGGGCGCAAAAATGAAAAATTTGCAATTTAATTGTTACTTATAAGTAAAAGCAATATTATGTATTTATGTAATTATTTGTATAACTTATAAATATTATTATGTTATACCTACGAACCTACTTATAATTAATTATGTATATTTATATTTTAATAAGTTATTGATTTAAATAAAATTAAATAACACTTACATAATTATAAGGAAAATAATTATTTATATTAAATCTATAAAAAATATTCAGTTCTTTTTTTTTTTATAAATTAAAATACTTAAGGGCGTATTTTGAAGTTCGCCCCGTGCTCATATTTGGTTGCTACGGCCCTTCCTACGCGGCCGTGCTCGAACGAAATAACACCGGTGTTATATTATTTTCGAGTCGAGACCGTATGCTGCGCAGTTGCCGTTATTTATTGCCGTACATTTAAAACTCCGGATTCGACTACGACCCTACGCGTGTGAACGATTATCGATCACCGTCGCCCCGCCCCGTCCATAACGCCGAGAGCCGACAACTGCTGCTCGTCCCTTTTTGTTTCGTTATCGCTAACTGGTGGCAGATGTTTGTGCACGAACGGATCCCCGGCCCATTGTCCGGTCTCTTGAAATTAATAAATATTTTTTCCAACATACGTTCATGCTCCTAATATGATATAATATAACGAAAGCGACTTGGTTTTTGTGGATAAAAAAATTCCGTTTAACGCGCGATTGTTCTCGGTTAGAGACCGTTCCCATCTACAGACAAAAGTGGCATATTTGTGGTAGTTGGGGGGGAGCAATAGAGGCATTTGCCCTCCTCCAAGACTTATTTTTCTTACTCTTTCGCGAAAACTGTAATTTTTAATTTAATTGGCTTTGCTAAACATTTATAGGCACAGGGACACTCAAATGTATAAGGAGATTGATTTGTTTGCTGCCACGAAAAAAACGAATATAGACTTTATATTATACTTATTTTATGACAATATTTTTTGGATTATAACTGAACAAATTTGAACCAGTGTCTAAAATCTAAAATCGAATAAAAAAAAAATAAAATAAACCAAATTTCTTGTACAGAAAGAGATTTTTGTGTTTTGTCCCCCACCCTCCTGAAAAATTATCCTAAACACGCCACTGGCAGACAATCGCCGAATATTCGATTTCCGGTAAAGGGAACCGTTGTCGTGAAAATCAATCGGCCAACTTAGTCTTCGATAAATACTGTTCGTTGATGATATCTACGAAATACACTTATTTCGTAACGAATCCGCGTTCATGTTTTAGATACGAAGCTTAACGATAAAACATGAACAATTGGTTGTATTTTTTATCAATTAGTTCCGACGTAATCGGATTCGGATCGACCGTGCTCCACGAAACGGTTACCGTAACGTTAAGGACCGCGGAAATGTCACGTACACATTAACGCTTAGCGTACAATTGGTACGGACACGTTGAACATAATAATAAAGATTTTATAAATTCGTATTAATGTTAAGAAAAATATCTTAGTTTTCAAAATATAATTATACATTAGAATTTAGCTTTGCAAAATTGCGTTAAGGTATAACATAAAATACATTATAATAAAATTATTAGATGTTATATTAAAGCAGGGGTCTTCAACCCCCGGCCCGCCCTGTCATAATATGTGGTCCGCGATCACATTTTAAATTTAGCATTTACATTTTCTAGTTCAATAAAATTATAACAGTTAAGCTATCGCAATCAGAAATATGTAATAATATAAATTTAATTACCTACCGATATATAATTATTATTGTCTGTTGGTTCGTAATCGATTGTGGAACGAGTACAATATTCTCCTTTATGTGTAAAAATTTCAATTTCATTCTTTTTCTTCGTAATATTTATACAATATGTCGGTGAGTAAAAAACGTAAAATCTCGGATGAAAAACACGTTTTTCAATAAAAATGGTCCAATAGCAATTTTTTTAAATTATTAAATTTACTAATTTGTAATTTTAAATGTACCTACCTAATTTTAAAAATTGTAAGAATAAAACTGAATTTTTATATATAATATATGTTTTTACAATGAATGCAAGATTTAAAAAAAATAATATGAAGCCCTCTGCATAAAAAGGTTGAAGACCCCTGTATTAAAGCATATAATATGCTATATATTTATGACGTTGGTTTAATTTTTTTTTTTTTTTTAATTTTGGATGGTCTTCTACCCAAAGGACATGTATGTCTTAGCATAAAGGTTGGGAAACACTGGTCTCTAAACTAATCGTTTTTATCTCCGTTCCGTCGACGCCGAAACGACGTACAATAACGTTTGGACAACGGAATCGTTTGAACTTCGGACGACCGATGCCAGCTCGGTTTACTGGAAACCAACAACGTCCGTGTGCGATTATTAAACGCAATCAGCTTTACGAACAATATGCACGACGAAATGTTTTTTCATGATAATGGTTGTTCGGACGATCTGTCGACGCCGACGGCACTGGGTCGTGATAACAGCGGATCGCTGATCGGAGGTGTTCCTTGTAAACGACAACGTCGCAACGGATGTTGTCGTCACAGCCGATGGGTGTGTGTGGGGGGGAGAGAGGAGTCAAAATGCTACGTCGATCAACAAAGCAATTATATCGTCGTGTAGCGCGTGCGTCCTCCGTGCCGAACTGCAGATGGTTATTTTACGCCGTCGTTTGAACGATTCGAACCATTTGAATCGGGTCAGTCCAGTGATTCGGTCGTTTCGGTCAGTCGTCTAGCACTGTTCGTATCGTGGGGTGAATCGATTTTCTTACGAATCAGTCACAGAGATCGATTACAATATAAGCTTGAATGTTGTAATAAAACCATCGAGATAAAATATACTCCGGTGTAGAGCACAAACAGAAAACAAGCCACCGTGATAATACCCGTCCCTACCGTACGCATAGGCGCAACTAGGGGGTTCTAAGGAGGACTTTAAGCACCCTCATACTAAAAATTAGCACCCCCAAAAATTCAAACTCAAATCCTTGATTTCATTAATGTACCTACCTATTCTGTTCAAATTTTTATTTTAGAATAATTTATTTATATTTAATGTTTCGAAGATAGTAATATTAGATGACAAAATATTTTGTTATGAGGTCAACAATATAATATTATGATAGGTAAGGTATATTGCATAGGGAATTTGGTTGTGTTAATAGTTATTTTTAAACAGTTATCTACGTAATCCGCTACCCGCATGTTTTCCATTATATGCGTTATCGTTAAAAGTTATAAGTATATTTATAACATTACACGACACTCGTTATACAGACAATACCCAAGACGTGAACTGCGAACAGGCAACAGTATTCCGTCTCCGTACATTTGAATTGATATTTAAAATGTTTAGTATTTTTAATAAACGAAAACCTAATTTAAATGATGAGGAAAACGAAATCGAAGCTGATATTGACATTTCTACAACTAATACTACTCATACAAGTAGTATTACAAATCAAACTCTTGATTTGGGAAATAAAGATTCCGGCCCATGTCGTCTTATACTTACAGTAAGATTTATTCTGTTTACATATAAAAACTTAATAATTCATTTTTTGAGTTATTTTAAATACCTACATTTAATTAAAATACTATTTCAAGTTAAAAATTGTTAAATCTAAATTATTTAAATAAATAAATTATATTTTCGAGTACGTACCTACCTATTATAGTATCTAGTATCTCAGACCTCTACATACCTACCTTATTTATTAAGGAAATAATTATTTAATACATTAATTGCATTTTCTTAATAATTTTCATTAATTTTTAACCACGGATAAAACAATTTGTGTTTAACAATAATATATTTGTTTGTCAATTAATATTATTCATTCACATTAGTCACTAATTTTTTAATATTTCTAACTTATTGTAAATAAAATAATATTTTTTAACTTTTATTACCTACCTTGTATAATTTTTATAAATTTCAAGCTATCGCCAAAAAAAATATTCAAGTAGGTACCTATAAATATAAAACTGTAATATGGTGTTTGATATTTTTCTGATTAATTTTATTATTAATTAGGAGTGTAAAAAAATTAAATTTGGAACACAACAAAGAGCATTTCGAAGCCAATGGTACAATAAATGTGATTGGCTAGAATACGGTGTTCAGCGTAACACTGCATTCTGCTTTGTTTGCCGAACTTTCGGTTCAGAAAATTCACTAAATTCAGGTGAAATATATAGATTAAATCTGGATTCAATAATTGGCATAAGGTAAGTTGTTTATTTTGAAGTGAAATAGCATATGTATTTTCACAAATAAAATAGTTAAAAAATAAAAATTATTCAAAAACTTATACTTCGCTAGAATAACTTAGTGCGTTAGTATTGAATATTAAATTTGTATTATGATTAATTTCAGTTTCTTGTAAAATCAAAAAAAAAAATTCTTCCACCAATACTCATTTGACTAATTTATCGAAAATGTGTGCATATAAAAGTAGTTTAAAGACAGGATCTGTTGTGACACAACTATCTAGCTTCCATAAAAAACAAGTTGAAATTAATCGCAAATACATGTCTAGTTTAATTGATGTTGTGTTATACCTTGCTAAACAAGGCATAGCATTTAGAGGACATAATGAAAATTTAGATTCTTTAAATCAAGGTACATTTAAATTATTATTAATAAAATTAATGTTTTCTTGTAATAATATAAATACAATTTTAGGTAATTATAAGGAAATGTGCCATATGGTATTTTCAAAGTTCATGCCAGATTTGAAAAATGTATATGAGAATAAAATTAACCATACCAGTTGGAAAGTGTAGGACAAAATTATTAAAATAAGTGCTGACATAATTAAAAAAATTATTGTTGAGGAAATTGTTGTTCCTGGGAATTTTGCTCTAATAGTTGATGAAGCCAGGTACAATATATTTCACCATTGTAATATTTATAATAGTCATATTTACCTATATTTTGATCAAATTAATATTTTTTAAATGTAAATATATACTGTCCACAGGTCTCATAAAGAAGAACAGTTATCTGTATGTGTACGGTATGCTGTTGGTCTTGAGGCACGTGAAAGATTTTTGCAATTCATAGATTTTTCTAATGGACAAACTGCTAACCATATTATTTCTGTTGTTTTTAATTGTTTTCAAAATTTAAGTATTAATATCAATACATTAAATATCGTTGCTCAATCTTATGATGGTGCAAGCGTACCTTGGAGGTGTCCAGTCAAAAATTAAACAACAATTTCCATGTGCCATATACACACACTGTATGGCACACAGATTAAATTTGATTGTTGTGGATTTGTGTAAAGGAATAATGGTGTTAATTAGTTTAAGATTAATCAAACAATAATTAGTATTATTAATATAATAATTGTGACATTACAATCTAAAAATGCTACTTTAGGAAAAACAAAAAGTATTATCAATAGAAGTATACAAAGTATTGAAAAATTACGTTCTGACATTGAATTTTCTACATTTTGGCAAAAAATTACATCTTTAGCTGAAGAGAATGATATAACCCTTGAAATACCATACATAGGTAAATATTTGATTAAGTGTTTACCTAAGTGAAATCTAAATGTTTTTTTTAATAAGTTTTAACTATATGTGTGAAATACATTTCTTAGACATTCATATGTAATAATTATTAATCAACAATATCATCAAAACAAAATTCATGTTCACAAAACTCAAAATTTAAATACATATAACAATAATTTAATTTTAAGTTACTAATAAAAAAATGTATTTGATGATCAGGAAGAAAACGCTTAAGAACTCAACCGAAATATTTGAACAATTTTTACTTACAATTAACAACTGGAGAAGAAATGAACTAAATATTACACAATCTGTTGAAGACTATTGGAAACAAAATTTATATTATCCAATAATTGATTCTATAATAGTTAATTTAGAATATAGGTTCTCTGAAGGAAGTTTATCTATGGCTCCATTGATAACTTTATGAATATGAACTATGAAGGAAGCTTAGAGTTCATAAATAACTATAAAGTAAAATTGATATAATATTAAATACAATTTCGATATTGAATTCAATTTTTTTTTTCAATAGTTGAAGTTACTATAACTTTAATATTTTTATTGTTTTTACTGTTCAATTTCAGAATGTGACAAAAGTTTCAATCGGTTTATTAAAAGCTGAAATGATGGTTTTCAAAAACTGTTTGCCACTAGATTTCAATTTTGATGAAAAATACATAAAGAAACTTTTCCCAACCTGTATAAGCTACTTCAAATTGTAATTACAATTCCAATAAGTTCTGTAACTTGTGAACGTAGTTTTTCTAGTATGAGACGTGTCAAAAATTGGCTAAAAACAAGTATGTTGCAGCAGCGTTTTAGTGACTTGTCAATTTTAAATATTGAGAGGGATTTATCAAATAGAATACAAACGGAAACAGTGTTAGATAGATTTAACACAAAAACTAGAAAAATTGTTTTAAAATAATAGATTATAATATGTTATCTAAATAGTTGTTATAATTTATTGTAATTAATTATTAATTATAATGTTTTTAGTGATTGTTCATTAATATTAATCAATATCAAATGTTTTATCATAAAAATTAATATAAATATGAAGTTCAGTTATAAAAACATGTTGTTGATGACTGAAATTGTGTTGGGGGGTGGGGCAAAGCCCACCACGGGTTACCAAGGTATACTAAATTTTAGCACCCCTTAAATTGCAGGTCTAATTGCGCCTATGACCGTACGGCAAACACATATATTTTTTCCATACGTACGAGTGAACAACATTTTAATTTGGTTTCAGTCAGTCACAATGCACTATCCGTCCTATCAGTACCGGAGGAAAAGTTTCTCGACTAGGGCACTCGGCAGATTCGTTCAATTGCGACCGACCCATCTCTACGCCGAACGACCCGACGGCGCACGCGCATATGTACTAAAGACCTGCAAGGGCCGGGCCGGCCCAACCCGGGCCTCAAAAAGCCCGGCCCGTACTGTGACTGGACCGGACCGGGCTTTAAAAAAAATAATGAGGGCTAGATCGGACTTTCGTTTTCGTAAAAATTTTCTGGCTGGGCTTTTTTGGTAGAATTTTTGGGGCCGAGTCGGGCCGGACTCTCAAAATAATAAAACCATAGGCGAAACTAGACACTTTTATTAGGTCAGGCCAGATGAAAAGTATAAAAAATATTACGTAAAATTAACTATTATTTCCTATAATATAATTATAGGAAATAAACGTCAAATGTCTAAATTAAACAATAACTAATAAAACCAATTATTCGAATACATATAATAGACTTATTATATTCTATTATAATACTTATTTGTACCAATTGTACCTATATGCTATACTATATTATAGTATTATATGAAACGTACAAATGTATGCATTTGTAAACGTACACATGTATAAATATATTATTTATAATGCCTAAATAATTATTAAAATATATAATATATACATATTTTTAATTAGTATTAGGTTAGGCTATGGCCTGATTCACCTGACCCGTAGTTTCGCTTATGAATAAAACCAAGGATGAATCGAGCTTTTTTTTTTTTGTAAAACTTTTTGGGCCGGGTCGGGCTTAAAGATTTTTACATCTAGCCGCGCTTGGATATTTTATGGATTTTTTTTTGTATGACAAATAATTGTTATTTAAAATAAAAATGATAAATCCTCATTACGACGTACAGGGCTCCCACAAGGGGGGACTGATGGACCTTGAGTACAGGAGCCCGGCTATTTTAAGGGCTTGTGGGCTCGTTGAAATTTATTTGTAATTTTTGAAATTTTTGTAGAAATACTTATTTTACATTAAATAATATTGTAAAATAATATTTTATAAATATATATATATGTTTAGTTATTTTGATAGTTCAAAATGAGGATTAACCAATGATTACCTAGAAATGAATGGATTGACTTCGAAAATCAATTTTGACGATATCATTACTAAGTTCGCTGAGCTCAAAGCCTGCAAAATAAAATTTTAATTTAAAAAAAAATATATTAAATATAAATTAAAATATACTTACTTTTTTCTAATATTTAAATAATATTGTAATAAAAAAATAAAATAGACATTATTAATGTTGAAATGCTTATGAATCTTGAATTTGAATTGGTATAATGAAAAACAAATATTATTAAAAAAATTGTTATATACCTATATATATAAATAGTAAATTGTATTTTTAAAAGTTTTATAAAGGGTCCGGCAACTATTTAGTGTAGGGGCCCGAAATTGTATGTGGGGGCCCTGACGACGTAGGAATAACCACGAATATTATATAATTCGTGGAACGTAGGTACTAGAGATCTGCACGAGCCGGACTAGCCCGACCCAACTCGTACCCAACCCGATTCGGATAGCAAGCTTGGATCGGGCCGTGCTATAATATTAATATTGCGGGTTGGTTATGGATGGAATCGTAGTATTTTTTTCTTTGGAATAGGCCGATCAATAATAAAACTATCTAAATATAACATAAGAGTACAATACTAATGCCGATTATTGACGTTGGATAAGGAAATGTTTCCAAACTGATGGAGTAGGCTTGTTACAAATCATAATAAAAATATGTCTATATTATTAGTGTATGTAATATTTATAATAATAGATCACTGATGAAAACAGATAATAAATATTGCGTACGGGCCCGGTCGGGTTGGACTTAAAAAAAAAATTAAGGACTGGACTTAGGGGGGAGCATTTTATAAGTTTAAGTTTCGGGCCGAAAAAAAACGGCCCGTGCAGATCTCTAGTGGGTACCGAGTAATGGGTATAATAAAGTTATTTATATATAATTCATAAATATGTCATTAATAAGTAACAACACTACCAACATATATGGCATACTATTAGCGGGATAGAGATACTTGCCTATAAACGAGGTTATTATTTCTATAGTATCATAGTACCAAGTACCAATATAAAATAGAAACGGTAATTTGAAGTATTTAAAGAAAATCCATTGTGTTTGACTATGGAGATTGTTAACACTAATATAGGATACTATACTATAGCCGGTTTCAGTTACCTAGTTTTAATGTTCCACGTTAGTGTACCACTGAACATATTTTGCGTATCTACCTACATTTATTTGTTTAAATCAGTATTATAAGGTAAGTTTGTTAATGTTACCTACGTATTTAATATATATTTGTATTTTTTTTCACTTAACTAATTTATCAGTATTTATTGTAAAAAGTAATAACATCAAAGAAAAAACTGTTGAGGCACCTATTGATTTTTAAAATATATAATATAAATGCAGATTTATTTCACTTTTCTAAAAGTACAATAATAATCAATTTATTGTTTTAATTATTTGTTAAAAAAATTACTTAGGTAGTAGGTATCACAACTATTTGTTTTTAAGATTATAATGAATGGGTAATCAAATAATATTGTTGAATAATAAACAGTGACTACTTTTAAATATTATTTTTTTATTTGATTACCTATATTATAATTTTTTAGAAATATTATATTATATATATTAATCATTTTAAATTATAGGTACCTACTTGACACTTGTATACTTAATATCTATTTAACACTTTATTGCACAGCGCCCAGTGTCCACAAAAGTCAACGTTTTTAAATCCAAACATTGAATTTAACTCTTACCTAGTACTTACTACCTACTACCATTGATTAAATATTTAATCAATGCTACTACTTAGTCTAATATTTATGGTTTATAAGAAATATAGGTTTTAATAAGTATTAAAAATTGTAATTCATCCATTCAGGACAAAAGTCGACATATTATTTCCAATTTAAATGTGTTAGGTACCAACTTTTTTATTTTAATTTTTAAACATTTTTGATCATCTTTAGGTGTACTTTGTGTGGTTACTGGTTATTTTTCATATTGAGCGTTTGGTTTTTAATAAGAAATTTTAAGTACTTTCTGTTTGATTTAGTTTGTTTTTATCAAATTCCAGTGGCATAATTTGATAATGTTTAGGGAGGGGTGGATCACATTTTTGTACATGAACAATTATTACTCGCAAACATTTGTATTATATAATTATTAGTTAAATATGATATTCTAGGGCTAAAAATATACCTCAGACAAAACCAAATTTTTTTAATAGCTTGGAATTATTTTTGGGCTGGGTTTGGTCTTTTTTTACAATATATTTTGGACTGGACCGGACCTGGCTTTTTGAGAGCTTATGATGATTTTCGGTCCGGGCCTAGGCTTTTTTTACAAAATATTTTGGACTGGACCAGACCAGGCTTTTTTTATTAAAAAATATTTTGCACCTCTTCGGACCGGGCTATAAAAAATATCTTTGGACCAGAACTGACTTTTTAAGAGCTTTTGATGATTTTCGGGCCGGGCTTGAGCTTTTTTCACAAACATTTTTGGACCGGTCAGACCCGGTTGGGCCGTAAATGTATGGCCCTTGCAGGTCTTTAATATGTACTGACCGACTGCTCGTTCAGAGCTAATACAGCTGCACTAATAGTACATAATGCGTTTCCCCATTGAAATAACGAGTGGTTATCCAGGATCGCATTTAAGAATTTGACACCAGGGGGCAATAATAAAAAACGCTTCATTATACCAAATACAAATTTCGGTTGAAAAAAATCTTTCTAAAGAAAAATTCATTACTGGTGTACCCAAAAACATTCCAAGTGCAATGTCCACATAAGGATGGATTGTTTGTAAATCTTTGGATCTATCGACAGAACTCGACCGTTACCGAATATGTGTGTGTGTGTGCCGTGACGCCGTAATTGGTGATATATATTTTTTTTGAGATACACTTTTTATTTTGTAAAGAAGTTTCACTTCAAAAATATTAGTTCATTAAATATTGAAAATATAAAAAAATAAGCCACCCTCTCATATTCAGCTGCTCGGTGCAACAGCACCCTGTAGCTCCCCCCTAAATACGGCCCTGCGGTTATCTGAACGGAACTGCTACTTGAAAAATAACGTATATTAGTTTTTACAATCGTCAATGATTTTCTTGTATCACGGCATAAAAAAATAAAATAATTTTTGAATGCGTAGTGTCAACAGGGTTTAAAACAGCGAAAAATTGCAGGGGACTCCGATACATATATCATTCTTAGCTGTCCATAAAGGTAGTCCAATACGATTACTAGGTTATTAGTTATAAATAGGTATATATATGTATTATGAGGTGTTATTAGTGACCAATTTTCTCCACAAACTATTTTTCATGTGCTGTAAAAATGTACTAACTCGTAAATTATTTAACCTTATTGTTTTAAATTATTTATTTTATTTAAACTGTTCAAAATTATTCTAAGTACAAATAATTAAATAAACTGTTGAAATTCTAAGTTCTAATATTTAATAACTGTTGAGATTGTAAGTCCAGACCATAACATACATTAGCGTGAAGGTGCTCAGTGCCGCATAGCAAGAACTCGTCTGGTTTGCCCTTGTTTTCAGGTCCCTTATATACCCGATGGATGCAAGTGTGTGTTAATTGTAAATGTGTGTATGTGTATGTGAAAAACGAGAGTAAAATATGATAATCTTTATTGATTTTGTGTGTGTGTTATCTCCCGGATGTGGTCAACTGTTATTTCGATTATCTATTTCTTATTTAATTTCCTGTATAAAATCATTATGTGATCTAGTTGTGATTCAATAAGTTATTATGTAATATGTTAATTTAATTTATCCACGGGTGTGGTTTTAATATTCATAAGAAATCATTTATTGATTCATCTCTGTATTTTTATGTGAGTATGCACTCATGCATCATTATCATTAGTTAACAACGAGGGACGAGACACAATAACAAGCATTGATCAATGTCTTATAATATAAAAAATGAATCAACAAAATTTAATTTTTTTTTTTTCTATCTCAATTTATAAGTGTGGCAAAAAATGACTTCTATATAATATAAATAATATAAACAAAATACATTATTTACAAAGGAGATTAATTTGAAAAATTATAAGCAAATAATGAAAATATTATTCAATAAATTGATGAGCCAGTTGTTGGGATCTTTTAAAATAACAAAAACAATTAAATAAACTACATGGTAGTTATATATATATATATATATAAATATTAATAATTAAAAAAGAATAAGTCATTTAAAATAATTTTCAAAGTATGAAGGGTAAAATGCTCAAACTACAACAAATAAATTAAAAATTAATAGTAATTACAGGAATAAATAATTACAAATAGGATATAATAGCTAATTTTCAATTTTTCTCAGAAACTTTTGATCTTATATTTATAGATATACTTAACAATTAAACTGCTTTATAAGTGCTGAACCTAAAATCAAAATAAAATCAAAAGATTTGTTGAAAAGTTTACATGGATGAATAAAAGGATAATTACTAAAAAGAAGTCTGAATGCTAAATGATTAATTTAATTCAATTCAATATGGGATAATAATGTGTGTAAGTTTTCAAAAAAAAAGTATTCAGATTTAAAGTATAAAATTAAAAGTATACATGGTAACATCCATATTGGAAATCAAAACTTTCATTAATGAATAATAATGGTTGACCGAGTTGTATAGTACATTGTAAAAATTTCCCAGATATTAACTATATATACAATGATTGAAATTTATAGTTAAAATGAAAAATATTTTTATTTTATTTTTAGAAAATAAAATAATAATAATTTAACTAAAAAATAAAATATATTGTATTACGTTTGATAATTAATAAACAATATTTAATGCACGATTATTCTGTCTTCTCATATTTGATTAAGTTATTTTAAATTTAATTTACAAATTATACATTTCACCAGGAAATTGACTCGTAACTTTGTTAATTTGTTTATGGTTAGAGCCACATAAAAAACAATAATGATGAATTAACATTTTTAATTTAACTACACTGATTTATAGCAAACAGTAATTATTAAATTTGTAAATTATAACGATTTTTATTATATTAATTAATAATAAAAATTGTGATGGTAATTATTAGTCATTTGTATTGTAATTTTTAATCAGACTTCTTAACTCAAAATATATTATGTTTGTAAATTTAAATGTAATGCTATTTTTGTTATTTTCACTATACAGAGAATTATTTAGATTTAAAATGTATTATCATTTCCAGATATAAATTAAATACTTTAGAATATATATATAAAACAAAATTCCCATAAATTAGTACTTTAAATTACTAAATAAGGAAACATGGTGTTCAAGAAAAATTCTACAATAATCATTATTTATGCACAAGGGGATTAGATTAGTTAAAATTTCATTAAGAATAATTTTATAGAAATGTGATATTTTAACATTCAAATATATATTGAGACTTTATGTACATTTGTAATGCATTTTAACATGATATACTTTAATTATTAAAAAAAAAAAAAGTCGTATAGTTCTTCAATATATTTTTATATAAATAATTTGAAGTTAGTTTTTATTTTTATCAATATCGATTCAAGAAAAATAATTTTAAGACACAGAAATAACTATTAACTCAATGCATTTATTTTGAAACTTGAAAAAAATTTTTATAACTTATAGTAAAAATAATAATGATGATTTGACAAAATATTTATTATTAAAACACACTATTGTAATAGATACATAATTATTTGAAATATATGTTACTGATAAATAAAAATAAATAAAAAAATAGATAAAATTATAAACTTATTGATTACTAAAAGAACAAATTAAGAGTAAAATGCAGATAACTAAACTGAAATATTAAGAAAAAATATTACAATGACATAATCTTAAAATTACAGTGTACAAGCAAAATGATTAAATTTTAATGAGTAACATACATAAATGTCAGTCAATTTATCTTATTTTTTTAATACGATAAAATAATTGTAACTTAATGAGAGATACTTATTATAGTTTTCACAGCCAACTGCAACATCTTTAACTTGCGGCAAAAGTTATTGGTAGGATAACGTTGGATGAAGTTTTCAATACTTTGATCTAATTTTATCAAAATTAGATGGACTTTTTCCTTGTAATGTTCATTTATATAATCTAAATTACTCACAGCAGCATCTAAATATCTATACACATGAAAATAAAATTAATAAAAAGATTTTATATAGTTAATGGAAAATAGTATAATTACTTTTGTTTCAGTTCTGTGTTATTTTTTAGATCACTAGATAGTTGTTGAATCAATGACAAAATAACAGGCGTTTTCAATAATGGAGTTTGGAAAAGTTCTTCAGGTAATACTTTTTCGCATACAAAAATTACTAGATCCAAATTAGATGCATTCAAGGCCTGAAAAATAGTTATTAAAAAAAATTTATTTCAACTTTAATCAGACAACATTTTCATGGCCAATTATTATTAATAATGTGGTTGCGTTCTACCCAACTTCAAACAGTTTAGTTTCCAGGTGGAATTACTATCCCGGAAAAATAAACCACTACTATACCTACATCTAATTTAAAAAATTTAAACAACTAAAAGCCTATCATACCAAACACACATAAGAAAAGAATAAACGCATCAGTTGAAGAAGCCTTATAGAGAAAAAATGTTCATAATCTAATAAAAAAAATTGATAACATTTTGTTTAGATTGTTTGATTCTTCTTACTATGTTACAATCTCAAAGATAAAGTAACATGTACAGTTTAAGATTATTCAATGTTAATTCAACAGACACAACATTATTCAGAATAACAATTCATCAAAAATAATTGATAAAGGGTTTAGACCATTTATTTAGTTTTGCAGATCATTGACAATCATACAAGTGATGGCCATTAGAGCGGAGTGCTCATTTGATTAATATATATTTATAAATAGATATATTGGTACTTTTATATAAACTGAAAAGTAGGAGTACAAAATTATTTTCGAACAGAAAGTTTAAATAAAGTACATTATGCAATTTTTTAAATGTTGATTACCAAAATGTATACATGTCTTTTTGCAAAAGAACTTTTAATTGTTCTTTTAATTTAAATAGACCATAATCATACTATTTAATTTAAAAGCTTATTAGTATATACATATTACTTTTTCAAAGGCTGTGACAAAATCACGACGTTCTATTAATTCACTCAACAATAAATATTGGTTAGTAGGCTCTGTATCTACATTTGCTTCAATATTATTCGATATTGATGATTCTTGAAGTAGACCCGAAAATTGATTTTTAATTTCATTTTGAGAACTATTCAATAAATATATTTCATTAAATAATTATGTTTAGTGAAATTCACAAGTAACATGTTAATTGGTTTTTTGAACTATACCTGAGAATTTTTTTTTCAGTGTGTTTTATAATGTTACTCATATCAGTTTTGAATCTTTCAAAAGCGAACTCCAATTTGTAATTTATATTGCCTTCTTCGTTTAATAATAGTTTTAATTCGTTTTGATCTAAAAAATTTTAATCCAAATAATACAATGAAAATTGATTATTATAAATATATAATATAATTATATTATTTATAATTATTTATTTATTAAATACTTACATTCCAGTGATCTTTCAGTAAATGATGCATCAATTTGTTTAAACATAGAACAACATGCGTGTTCAAACTTGGGTATAACTGTACTCATGAAGAGGTCTTTTAAAATTGTATCCAGAGTTGGACTTAATGATGCAACTAAAGATCTTGTAAATAATTCGGTATCAATCTAAAAAATAAAGTTTGATATTATTATTTTAATTAATAAGTAATTAAAAAGCCTTAACAAAAAATGTAATTTAATCAATTATTGTGAAAAAATTAAGATTGATACAGATTAAAATATATATATATATACAGATCCTAGCAGAATATGTTATATTTGGATATCTAAAGTAAATTATAATAGTAGTCAATAGAATACACATTTATAATAAAACTTTGGTCTGTAAAAATATTTATTCGATATAACATTAAAATAAATAGGAAAAAAAATGTATATTTAAATTGAGAATCCCGTAAAAAAATCTTAAACATTTTAAAAATAAGAAAATAAAATAATATATATCAAATTTTAATCACAATATATAACTATGAATCTAAAATTAAGTATAGCAATTTTCAATATTTTAGTAAAAATTACAAAAAGTTAATAATTTGTCACTTTATTATTTAAATATATCATTACCATATTTGAGTTAGAGGTTTTGACCATATCTGATGTTTTCTTATGTGATAGATTAAAGTGGTGATCTAGAACAAGTTGAAGTTTTCTTTGTGATTGATCATTCGCATTCCTCACTAGATCTATAAATTAATAAAATATAATTATTTTAGCAAATATTTTCAACTTAAATTCAATTAAATGTTGATGTACCTATTAAGAATGGTTCTAGATTTCTACATATGTCAGTTTTATTTGTAAACAAAGAAGAAGATATTTTATTTTCAATCTGGTCTTGTTTTTTACTTAAACATTTCAACTGAGAGTTAATGTCTTGTAAACATAAGCGAATATTATTTATTTGTTCAACAAATCCAATATCTACAATTGTCTTAGATCTATTTGGTGGTTTTGTTATTGTTGAAATGCTTGAACCATTAAATACAGAATCACCTGAATAACAATCAATTTCTTCTTTTTCATTATCATTAGAGTAATTACTTGAAGTTTCAAAATTTTCATCGTGTGCTCCTGCATGTTGAAAAGTGTACCTATAAATCCAGTAATTTGAAACACAAGTTGTTATAAAAAAAAAAAAAAAAAAGAAATATATATTACTCTTCAGGACGTTCAAAAATTGTTTGTACTTCATTATTACTTGGACTGCATTCTCTAATTTCATTCATATTATACGTGTTCTAAAATAATAAAAATATTTAGTAATATTTATTTATTATATACTATTATACAATTATCATATTACAAAAAATACTTTTTTTTCTATAATTTTCTTAAGAAACAACCAAAAAACTTGAGGTAACCACTATTCAAAAACTAACAAAAAAGATCAAAGAATATTTAATAATAAAATAAAAATTAAAAATTATTAAATACCTTTTTTTTTTTTTCATAGCTACTAGTATTAGATTATGATAGCTCAACAATTACAAAAGGTCAAATAAGATAATTAATTACATTATATATATATATAAATATTATACATTATATTATATAATAAAGTTAGCATCCAATATTAAAATAATAATTTTAATAACAATAGAGAATCTTATATTGATTATGAAGTAGAGATTAAAGATAATATTGAAACCATTAAGAGATTTAATTAAAATTAGACATTTAGCCCGCAAAGTAGGGCGATTCAATAATATATGGAAAAGGTCACAAATACATTCATTTAAAAATTTGTACCATATAACTTATTGTTATGCAATATATACCATTTTTTTTTATCCACAAACTTAATGTTATAATAATTTATATATTTATTCTATCAAAATTACAGTATTTTTTTGTAGGTGAACATTCTAACTAAATATAAATATAAATACTTGTGGGTAAGTAAAATTAATTAGTGACTGAAAGGGAATTATAACTGGGTTACTAAATGTTTTCTTATTTTGAATCTATAAGAAAAAATGATCTGGAAGAAGAAAAGTAAAGTTTAGAAAAACATAATAAATTGTACCTGAATTGGATTTGTATTATTCAGAACCATATTTGAATTCATGGTTATTCCTTTTAATCTTAATTTTTCTTTTACCATATTATGAACCGCCATTGGACTAAGATCAGTCAGAATATGATTTTTTCCATCATGTGGTTGAAATTCTTGAAAATTAATAAAAACTTATTACTTGTATTTATGAAAATGTATTATATAGTCATACAACATAATTTTGTATATTTTATAATGTTTATAATTTAATATTACAATTTATACTAAGTCAAATTAAGCATGTACAGTTGGTCATAGGCTCATTAAAAATTATTTTATTATAAAACAATATTCAAGAAAATATAAAACATAAAATCAAAATATAGTATACAAAAACTCAAAAGTATATTTATTTAAAACTATATTGAAAAAAAAAATTATAATTAAATTTAATAAATAAGAGACGTGAAACTCAAAATAACTAAAGGAAGCAAAAAAAAAGTAATTCAAATTGATAATCAGCATTTATTTTATACTAATACGATATGGATACATATTATACTCAGATATTTAATAATTTAACTAGTTTGATACTAAATAATAATATAATATCAAGATTTTTGATTAACTCAAAAATTGTATGAAGTATTTGAAAATGTACTATGAAAATGTAGATTAGATAAAAAAAGTATGTGGACTTGATGGGATATGCGGCTCCCAGTTACTTATCTCTGATATATAAAATTATGAACTACACTTAATATGGAAATATATATACATATATATTTCTAAAGAACGATCATGACATATTTATTGCAAATTATTAAATTTAAAAAAAAGTTAACTTTTTTTATTTATGGTTATTTTACTGGCATTTATTAAATGCTATTGAATAGGTTAACAAAAAAACATAAATTATTAATCATCCAGTGATTAACAATATTGATATATTCACATATTGGTTATAACATAACTTAATAATAATGTTCTAATACAAAATTCATTAAAGAAAAAATTAAGTCAAAAAAACTGTTGATAGAATTAATAAGATACATATATTTTACCGTAGCATTATCAAATACTAGATTTTTTAAATGGGTCTATATCAATCTTATTATAATTACCGTTTGGATCATTCTGAGGAATATCAAGCGAACCCATAAGAACATCTACAGTGAGTGGTTTTGGATACAAATTATTTATTGGTTCGATCAAACGTCTTTCTATTAATTGTTCTAAAATAGACATGTCTGGAGATGAAACACATAACAGACCTTCTTGTATGGACTTTGGTTGTATTGCAAACAAATTAATAATTGATGTACATTTATTCAATCCATTAAAATCACCTATAAAATTAAAATAATTATATATTAACCATACATTAAAACAATGGAAAATAATTAATTTTGAATATGGTTTTTTATTATTATTTAAAAATAAATAAAACACACATGAATTTCAAACATTTAACTTCATACATATTATGAACAATTTAAGTAATAACTGTACAGTTGATACTATCAATTCAAAATGTTGAAAAAATTGTCACTTCACGTCATTGATGATAAAATACTGATTGAGTAGATCAAATGTACATTTTAATTATTAAGAGTAAATAACACATAAAAGTGCACTACTGTATTAGAATATTATATTCTTGGGGAATAAATACTATTTTGCATAAATTAAATAATTATTTAATACTCAGTACCTATATTATTGTTATTAATTTATTAATTTAACTTACCTTTTTTTTTTTTTTTTTAATATTTTTATACATTTATCATAATTGCATTATTATAATGCATACCATAAATTATTAAATATGAATACTTACCAGAATTACAATTTTCAGTAAAATGCGTTTTGTTATGATCAATTTTAGTATTAACAATTATCATATTCAACATAGGACTTGGCAACAAAATTTCAGTAACACTAACTATTTTTATGTATTTTTTAGGACTTTCAGGATCGACCGATACTTCCATGACATATAATAACTGAAAAATATATGAAAACCAGTTTTTATTATATATTAAAAATATTTTTTTTTTTTAACATACATTATGGTCAATGTCAGACAAAAATATATATCTTCCAGTTTCATCAACTGTTAGTTTCATAGGATTATCAGAAATATATGGTCGGATAAATTCCAATTTTTGAAGACGTTTCCAAGTCTCACAAGACCACAAAATAATTTCATTGTTATTAGAATAAGTTACTATGTACTTCCAAAGTTCAATACTGAAAACAAAATTTATTTTATAATTTATTTTATAAGTTATATATATACTATAAATGTTAAACAAAACTATTAAAATCACATACTCTCCAACAACATTTTTATGGTTGTCTAAAAACACCATTGATCTTAAATTTAAAAATAATTCTTCAGGTTTCCAAATGAAGATACGTTTCAGAGGTTCTTTTGAGTTAATAAAAGAAATCTAAAACATTATGGAATAATAATATTTAATAGAACTCATTTTTATTAATAACACAATATATATTATGAAATGAAGTAAATAATATCAAATACCTGGTAAAAATAGAAGGATCCATTACTTAAAGCTATTGATATCTTTGAAGCGTCTGGAGAAAATGCTACATTGATTATGATAGATTCATCCATACGGATTTTGATTACTGAATGTTTGATATTATTTAACATATTTGAATCCATTAATTTATTCAATTCAGGTTTCGCATAAACTGGACCAGCAGTAAAATTACTTGCAATACCAATATGCCATATTTCAACCTATGAAAACAATAAATATTATTTACGATAATATTATTATTGCAATTTAATATTTTAAAAATTATGAAATAAACATGAAGATGATATCACTTACATCTAAACCTCGAACTACAGCCAACATTTTCCCATTATAAGACGGTTCAAATTCAAGTTCTTTTAAATAATTTACTTGTTCCGGAATATATTGACACCAAGATATAAGAAAGCCTTCATTAAAAAATTCTGTTGGATCCTAAAAGATTAAAACTATATATTAATCACTTATAATTATATAATTTACACAATTTTTTTTTAATTTTACAAATTAACAATTAAAAAAATAAATACATTTAACTTACAAAAGAGTTTTAACTTTTATTATTTAATAATAATAAAATCAAAAAATGAATTAAATTAAATCGTTGAAATATAGATTACTATTTATACTTTTAAAGACAAAATACTATTACAACAATTATATTATAAATTACATACATTAAAATAATTTTAGATTTTGATAAAAAAAATAATAATAATAGTTTGTTTTTACAAAGATACTAATGATAATGGATTGTAATGTTTTTAGTAAATGTTATCTAAAAATATTATTTAGCCTATCGATTGAGTGTAAATCTTATTATCGTATTAGTAATTGAGGAAATACATTTAATAGTAAATAATGTTTAACAGTTCATATATTATTTAGAATTCCCTGAAAAAGAAGATATATGTTAGTAAAAAAAAGAGAATATATAATTTAAAGTGCAATATTTCCTAATTTTATCAATGCCAGATCATTTTATGCTATTCCTGAAATTAAAATTTTTAGATTAATAACCTACTGAAAATATAAATTTATCAATTGTTTTAAGTATAAAATAATATTGTTTAGAACTACACCTATTAAATAAAACAATATGTTAAAAGTAAAATATATTTTTTTTATTTGAAATTTTATTATATTTTATTTAATTTCAATATCTATTTTTACATACTATTACATTTTTTTTTTTTTAATTAGGTTAAATATTTTATGTTTGGATAAATATTTAATCCGTATTAAAAAGAGTTACACTAATCTGATCTGAAAATTGTTATCGTTTCTTCAGATTTTAGTTTGTAAGTAAAGATTACCTAATTGTTTTAAAAGTTCATCCTAGTTAACTTTTTTTTTTCAAGCCGTAGATTTGTTAAATAACTTTGATAATATAATATTAATTAATTAAATAAGTAATATAATAATAAATATAAATATAATTATAAATAATAATAAAAAAACTTTTAACAAACATCTTAGTGCATTAGCAGTTGTAGTTATTCGCATTTACTGGTATCATTACATCATTAATTTTCAGTTTATAAAATAAGCTATTTGTTTTATTTTTATAATTTATTTATATTAATTCAACTTAAAAAACTGGAATCAAAATACACAATTATTTCCATTAAATTAATGATTCTTTAAATATGTTCATTGCTTTTATTATTCAATACTCATACATTTACTATAACATACTTAATTACCTAAATAAAAAATTAGTATTCAAATACTTTTCTATTATGTTGAACCAGCAATATTTTAAAATATTTCATAAACTAAAGAAATAGTAACTCTTTTAGATGCATCCTATAACATGTTCATATTCATAATAAGTATAGTATAACTTCATTAAGATAGAAATTGAAAAAAAGACTTCATTAGTCTAACCCAAATAATTGTTGTAAATAAGAAACTGTAATAACAAACCTCATTTATTTGAAATATGGGAATAACTGATAGTTGTTTTGTTGAATACTTTTCTTCTTTCACAATATAGACATATACAACTCCAGATTGATCAATACAAGCTAACATTATAATTCCATAAAGATGAGCAAATTTGATGTCTGTAATTATATTGCTAAACCCTTTGATTAAAACTCTTTCATTTGTCTCTCTTTTAACTACGCGAACTAGACCTTCAGATGTACTAGCTATAATAAAAATTAAATTTTACCACATAAAATTAAAATAGATTAAACATTTTATTATATAAATGTTTATTATGGAATACTTACGTTTTGAAAAACCATAAGCTATGTAATCTTCACTTATATGCAAAGCTATCAACTGTCCATGATAATAACTATGTTCCCAATTAAAATCAACAAAATTTTTAAGTGTTAATTTTGAACTTCCTTTTTTGTGCGATCCTGAACTGGCAAAAATTGTAGTCATATTTTCTTTTAATAAGTGGGTACAATCTTCATCATTCCCATCGAACCTCCTAAAATGAAAACCAAAGACATTAATAAAATACATTGTTTTTAATAATTAATATAAAGTAGCAATCATATGGTAAATTACTATATTAAATAAACTTATTAACTCTTTAGTTATTGGCATTTTAATTTATAAAATATATATTTAATTTCAACTAAACCTAATTAATAGAAAACCATTTCCCTAATCAAAATGATTAACCTTATTTCAAACAGATTATTTCTTTGGAAATAAATAATATTAAATTATTAATTGCATAGGTATAGAGATCAAATAAATATTATTGTGTTGTTATTACTGTTTTCTCTTTGATAATTCAACCAACATTTAAATTATTTATACAAACTAATTTTGAACTCATAATCCTCCATCACAAGCTATGCTTGTTGAAAAGGTCAAATATTTTATAAAAATACTATTCTAAGTATTTATTTTTGTAATTATATATAGATAAAATTTTAATATTATTATTATAAAATTATTGTACCTCAAATATAAGTTGATAAACATATGCTAAATGTTAACAACAATCCAACAATTATTAAACTATAATTGCTTTATATAGCCAATAGAAGCTGTTTATGGCATTCAAAATACCCACCAAAATTGTTCATAATAACCAATATTTATTATGACTAAAATGTTAAAAAAAAAAAAATTAAAACTTGAATATATTTTTATATAAACATGTTTTATACATAGTATCTATATATATATAAAAAATAATAAAGATATGCATGTATTTTAAAATTATAATACTGGTAATATTATGTTTAGTGAAAAAGGCAAGCGTGTTATTGATGATTTTAAACTTCAGTAAGGAATATCTTTTTTTCAGGGACTTAACTAGTACAATATTCTTTTTAACACGGAACCCAATTGATATACAATTATAATCTGAGATCCAACTAGTATGCGCTGTAAAAATCAAACAATTATTTATTTTTTCTAGCTTTTTAAAATTTGTTATAAGAACCCTAAAATTAACTATGAAAATTTATAGCAATGATGCAATTAATATTTATGGCTATATACTATCTTCAATATATTTAATAGTCATTATAGTTTAAAAATAACCAAAAATAACTGTCATAACAACTGTAAATGTATTATACAAACGTCATAATAATTGATATAAATTAGTATACACAGCATAGGAGTTTTATTGTAATCTTCAATTTAAGAACAGTATATAATATAAAGGCAAAATAAGATTTATAATGATTATTTAAATAACCCTTTCAGTTCCTGATTTATTTTATTTAAACAGGTACTTAATAACTTAAATTAATATTATGTTACGTTTATAATTCATAAGAGACCACTTTAATAAACAAAACTCTTTGACTATTACTACAAAATATAATATGTACCTGAATATGAAATTAACTAATAAACTAAATCAAGTTTTTAGTACAATAAAAAATAAGGAGACTATGAACAATAATAATGGTAAAGACTTTACATTTACTTTAAATAGATTAACTACTTTGATTTAAAAATTATGTAATGTTTATGTTTAATTATAAAATTAAATGTAAGATAAAACTGTTAAAATTAATGAAAAACTATACATTCAAAGGTACTCCAAGCAAATATGGTAATTTAATTATAAGATTAAATTTTAATGCCGTTCATTACTCCAGTAATAATGTATTATTTAAATATATTTTAGCACTAAATGATTCTATTATAGCATTTAGTGGTAAAATATACTTTGAAAAATGATAATCTTATGAGCTAATTTGAACACAAAGTACATGTTTCTAACATTGTTGTGTAACCGACTAGGCACACATAAGTAATATACACACACTAACTAATATAAAACATAAAATATTCAAAATTTGTCGGTAATCAGGTGAGAAATTTCTGAACGAGTTTGATTAAACATAGATAGTGCAAAGAATCGGTAATGTGTACTGGACGAACTCGTTGACAAGTAAATAGATTCGCTGTCAAGTACATCCTCACGTCTACAGATATATTTTAAGACTTGATACTTACAAAACTTCTCTGTCCGGATTAATTTCCATTTTCATCGACTGGTTGAAACACGTGAACAATAGGGTTCCCGAAGGAAGACGATGAAAAAACGAAACAGAAAAATTCGATGCGTACGCTGGCGATCTACGGAGATACGAGAACAGGAGGTTTGCACGATGCAGCCTTTAATGGCCGTCGTCACGAGAGCCGATGTATCGGGGAACAGAAAGGTTGACCGGACACTGTTTATTTGCTTCTACTTCCACTTCGCTTCCCGCACAACCGTACAGGCAAACCGTCAGAGGCGTACGTCGAACGATCGTACGCGGACGCGTTGCAATAAAACGACTGGTTGGACAAATAGGTCGTAATGGTGAACGGCAGTCGGTCGGGAACGAGACGTCAGTGGCGGACGCCGGAGTAAAATGTAGAAACGTCTTTGGTGCGACGGCGACGGGCGGTTTGATAACGTCGTGCGGACACACCAGGTTCGCTGGCATTACTGTTCGCGGCGTCCAAGCGCCTGATAACGATTGAATCTTTTTTCGGATTTCGCCGACGTTCGCGGTGCATACGCGTATAATTTTTACAGCGTTAGTTCACGCATCACACGATGGTTCTTCATTTTTCGTACATATTAAAGCTGGTTACACGCTACGCGTTTTAGACGCGGCGTTCGAACGCCAAAAATCAAACGCGCATCAACATATGATCATGTTCACACCAGGGAGAAAACCGAGCGTCCGAACGCTTCGAAACGTGCCGGTTTAATTTTGAGCGTTTTGGACGCTGCAACATCTAAAGCCGCGTCGACACTAGTAAAAATTTACGTTGTACGTCGTATTCGACGAAAATTTGTTCGTGCGTGGACGTGTTCGTCGCATAAGAGCGTGCACAAATATTTTCGGCGTAATTATTTACGACGAATTTCTATATTTGATGCACAGTGTACATTTTTACTAGTGTGGACGCAGCTTAAAAGTCAACAATGTGTTTTCCATGTTGTATTCGCACTGGGCGTTTGCGACGTCGCGTTTTGTAGCGTTTCGGTTTATAATCGGTTTATTTGGTCACCAAACGTCGACTTGCCGTGCTATTACTTTGCTTCGTTACTATTTTTTTTCTCTCCTTACGTTTTCGCAATCTTTTATACAACGCATAAACTAAGCAAGCTGCTTCCATATCAGCTAATGCATTTATATCTAATCCGTTTAACGCCATTTAAAAACAAATTAAAAAAGTAACAAAAACGTACGATGTGTATATGGGTGCGTTTGAATACCAAACGACGGTATTTTGAACAGCGAGGTTAGGTTACACCATTTCCCGCGTGTACCGTCCCGATAATATTAGTATCGAAAACAAATTGTTTAAACGCGTAGTGTACAACTTAATCTGACGCGAGCGTTTTGAATGCCGCGTTTTTAAAACGCGTACACTAGCGTCTGAAACGCATGGCGTGTGATCAGCTTAAAGGCATGGACACACATAACCGCATCGTGCCCGATCCGTGTATCGGCCGAGTGTTGACCGTCACTCGGTGAATGAATAGTGCAGTGATATAAATAACAATAGTTCACACATAACCGTATCACGGACGAGCGCTGTCACCGCACCGAGACCGGACCGAGCACGATTAAAATATTTTAATAAATGACGTTGACTGTACAGGCTCGGAGTCTCAACATTCGGTAGTCAAATTTTATAGTTTCAGTTTCCAGTGTCTTGTTTTTTCAACCTCTTTTTTAGCTCCATTTTTTAATGGATTTTAATGGAGAATTTACGATCTTTTGATCGTAAAATGTTGATTGAGCCATTGTAAAATATGCATATGCATATCATAAAACTTAGTTTCATCATCTATTAGATGAGGAAACAACGTGAAAAATTCCCCCTCAATGGTTCTTGATTTCCATGCATTGTGTATCCACATTTTTTCTTTTCTTGCATGTTGACTTCTCCATTTCTCGTCTTCTTCTTCTAACGCAAGCGCTATAATTGCTAATTCACATTTTTAAAACTTTTAAACATAGTTCTCGCGTCCGTCCAGGTTAAAATGCTAAAACAAATTGAAACAGCTGACGCTAGTAGGAAAACAACGAATCTAACCAGGCATGGACGAGCTACGGTCAAGGTACGGACAAATGTGGTGCCTATACGGACGAGCCATGACACGGCCAAGTTACGGCTGACACACGGATCGGGCACGGTGCGGTTATGTGTGTCCCGGCCTTAAACCGTCCGATTGGATTTGTCCGCGTATTTCTCCCCGTGCCATTGCACTCGCCTTCGGTTCGGACAATTATTGCCGTCGTTTCGGGTAGGAAATTTTCGGTTTCTCGGTGTCGAACGGTGATTCAGACGAGCGTACAGGGTGGTACAGATAGAGACAGATTCCACCGGGCGGTTATGTGTTCGCAGCGAACGAATAAGTGTACGCAAATATCGTAATTTCCGAACACCGGTCACGGCGGAGGGCCACGTCATCGTTGCGTGAGCTGCAGGGCAAGAGAGTGATGGTGGAAAAGATCATTACCGGAAAACGACACACAAATGCAATTTAAAAATACACAATCGGTAGTGTTCTTAGAATCCTATTATCCGGTCTCATTGCGCTTGATCAAGATTTATAATTGTTTATACTAGAATACGTTTCGGTCCGGGCACAGTTGCGCGTGACCTATGTAAACTAAAACTTTCGACGCTGTTATTTTTAGACAAAATAAACATTAACCAGGTAATTTTGATCGAATGTTGATGAAACCGTTTAGGGAAACGGCATTCGCGTTATAATTAAAACACTTGAACAAAATGAGCAATGGTTTAGCGTTGTTTGTGACGCGCGTGCGTTCGGTATTTCGTTGTTCAATCGTAACAATTAAGACTCGAACGGTTGGTTAATTAAAAATAACAACATACCGGCCATTAACAAGCGGGTGGACATAAATTAATCGCGTTGCATATTCCACATTCCGATAGAAATCAATGACAGTGTACGACGGTTTATTAATTCGCGTTAGCAATCTGATCCATTCTAACATTTTCAACTTCCATACCAAATGTTATCTATATATTTCCTGTACCAAGTGCGTGAAAACAATAATAATTTTAATCTCAGGGAATGATTGGTTTTAACGTTAAAAAATGGCCCAAATCAATTTGAATTGTACATTTCGTACATTTATTCGCTGAAGGCACAATAGCACCACCATAGTAAAACGTATTATAAAACATCGACATATATAAATCATAACATACGATATTTTTATTCTATTTTTTTTTTTGTGATTTGCAAACAAGACGACACGAAAAATATTACATTTTCAACGAAAACCGTTCGTTTCGTACAGGTTGTTAAAGCTGTCTCTCCAGTTTCTCGAACAATTGCGGTCTGCGAAAAAATATAGGTGTTCTTCTCTGCCGATTGACTGTTGAACATAAAAGTCATTATTGGATTTTTGTACAATGGGAGAATTATTTATTGCTCCGACGACTCGTGGTTTTTCAAAAGAATGCCGCGACCTCGTTTTACGAGTCGTAAATTCTAATAATAATTGACGATAAGAGAGGAAAAAAAAAACGAAACCCAACAAATAATTAATGTTGATTTCAAAAATAATTATCAAACATCCCTCGGGGTATCGCGTACGGAAATACACGACCGAAACGCGGCGCCGTTTAATAACGGCGGTCGTACGGCAACGCCGTTCCGTCCGTAAACACGCCGGTTATTACTGTCGTTTTGCGCTTGAATACGGGGAAATGTTATACGTGTCTATTTTTATTATCGTCGAAACGCTGGACCCGTCGATATTGTTCCACAAATAATTCGACGGTAAAATAATATATAAACATATAGTACCGCGTTCGGTTCTCGTGTATACTACTTCATTAAATTAATGTACATTGTGTTAACCCGAGGCAATAATGCCGGCCGAGAAACTTCCCGGTTAATGTACCGGAGTAAAGCTCGGACAAACGGCGAAGGGTCTTCCCTATTGATCTGTGCGCGCGCTTAAACGTCGTTGGCGCCCCGGAGCGCAATAAACGTGCATCCCGGAGAAAATAAATAAAATTCAATTTTTATCGAAATATGAAATGTCAACGTTGTACTTTATCGCGGACGTAATAAATCGTACGGTTAAATTGGGCAAAGAACAGTTTCTTCTGTGTGATAGTTTCGCAAAAACAAACGCAACACCGCATAAAATAATAATACGGTAAGAAAATTGATGATCGAGACGGTTCGACGACACATTTCCGCTGTATTAGATTTTCATTTATCACGGGCACCGAAATTAATCGTTTTGTCCGTTTAATCCGCAACCGCGACCAAAACGTTTGCAATTCATTGTTATAAGAAACGCTGAATTTGTCATTGATAATAATAATCAGGGCTAGGATTTGTATGCAACAGCATGTTTTTGTTGCGACTTCTGATTATTGATTTTGTCAGTAATGTCCACGAATCACCTTATGATGAGATACATGGTGGTGTTTTTATTTTGCGTGTTTTTGAATATTTTGGATAAAATGTATATTATTGCATATACTGGAATTAAATGAATATTATTGCATATTTCGTATTTAATTCTAGCCCTGCTGATTAAAATATAAAACTTGGTTTTTTTGTAAAACATACATTTTATTTTATTTTATTTCTCAATTATATTATGACAAATAGCCAACCACTGATGTTTTGCAATAAATAAATATTTTTTTTGTAACTATATTTTGTGTTTATCTTACAAACATTTAAATGCATATTTTTGCATGTATTGATCAATAAAATACAAAATTTATAATTTTTTTATTGCATACATAACCTAGCCCTGATAATAATTAACAAGTCGTATTATCCGTCAGACAGCGTGAATTTTGTTGTCCGTCGCTTCCGTGTAATTCGCTATGAACGTTTTATAATAATATACACCCAATTATAGTTGAAATGAATTCCTAATAAACTATTATGGACATTGTTAGGTAGAATGAGACCGGCTGACCCGTAGATCCCTAAAAGTACTATACGTGTATTTTTATATTATATTTGTGGTGCTACCCGTGCGTCGTTTTCTGGTAATGCCATTATCCACTACTTTCTTGTCACTACTACATATGTAATATGAGCTTTCGACATAACCATGGTTCAGATATAATATTTGATCCCTATTATTATTTTTTGTGAGATTTAGAGCTATTTGAGATATTCATCCCGTCAGTGGCGGATTACGCATTTTTTCGCCATGGGGCAGTTTTTTTGGCGCCCCCCCTCCCCCACTACTCCACTAGACAACATAAAATATTTTAACTTTAACTCGACAGCTCGACAAACTTTTGACTGCAGTTGTGACCTATATGGATACTTTTTCTTAAAAATGTTTTCAAAAAATTATTTTTAGTAACTTAAAATAAACGAAAATACAGTCAACTCATTGGTTCATAAGGCGCCCTTTTAGACCTGGCGCCCTGGGGCAGCTGCCCCGTGTTGCCCCGTGTGTAGATCCGCCACTGCATCCCGTGATAACTGATAATTGAAAATATATATTTTAGCACATAATTAACTTATGTTAATTAACTCATTAACTTCATACATTTTGCAGTGTATACTTGGTTTCGTTTCTCTACGTTTTCCAAATTTTTTCTCTACACCACTAGACAAATTTTTTTAAATTACAAATAAAATAAAAAACGTACTGTCAGTTATATATTTTTATGTTATTAGTATTATTATAGTAAAGATTAAATGCATTAAGAGGATTCGATCCTGGTTAAGTTTTCTATTAAAATATACCTATATTCTGTCAATTGTACTGACCTGTCTAATGATCGGATAAGACTCATAAAAACATAATTGAATTCGTCATGAAGTTGACGTGAAAACGACTTTTTTACTTTTTTGAATTATTATTTTTATAACCTTAAAAAATTGATTTTAAAATCTAAAATAATAATAAATTTATAATGTAAATAATATTAAATTGATAAAATAATTTGAAAATGTAAAAGTCAATTTAAAGTAAAGACTAATTCAAATATTTTTTTAGAAGTTTTATCCGATGACCAAGGAAACCAGTATGATTGGCAAAAAATTGATTCTTTTAAAAAAAAATAAAATTAAACCATATTCCTCGCAACAGTGTGGCTTGACTTGTGCATGCGCGTGTGGAAGTAACCCTCTTCCGCTAATCGTTGCCGCTAATTATAGTGCCCGCATCGTTATCAATCTGTTTATTTTATATTATATTTCACCTAAATGGCACTGGGCTAAATATTGTCACAATTTAAAAGCCTATAAATAAACTCTCAAAGATAAGACTTAGGTAATTTTGTAAACGAAAATGAAAATTTTAGAAATCGGCAGTAATAGTTCATTCGTATGTGGTTTATAGTATTACTAAAATACAAAGAAGCTACTATTTTAATAAATTTTTAATATATTGTAAAATAAGCAATTCTATGATTCTGTGATCTATTATTGGAAAACTGGTTCTGCCATCGCGCCGGTGCATTGGTGATTAACAGCACCAGATTAATATGGCTCGGAATTGCATATTGCAAGAGGGTATAGAGCGGGGTAATTACACACACTAGTGATCATTTACTTCGCACATACTCTCATGGCGTTCACGCACGCGTATGACAAATTGCCTATATTCAACTTCTTAAAAACTACCCGGATCGAATCCCTTTAAATCAATTTTATTTCTTTACTGTAGACATTGACTATAGAATAGATATAATAATAGATCCCTATTCTATAATCAATGCTGTAGATACTAGATTGTATAATAAGTTGCCTGTAGAAATATTTTAAGGAGTGAATTTAATAATTGTCATTTAATTTTCATTTTTTAAACATACATGGATATTATAGACTAGAAAGGTAGATTTGAATATCGTGGATAGTTTAGTTTCTTTTTTTGTAGAAAAAATATTTTTGCAAACACAAATATAAATAAATAAAACAAAATTTCCCCAAGTATATTAAATGTATATTTTTTTCTAATCAATGAATATAAATTAATTTGTTAATTTATATATAAATATTTATAATTTATATTTTGGGCAAGATGAGAATGTCAACAATAAGTATAACCACTCGTATTCTTTCTTGGAGTGTAAGAAAATAATATGATTCTTGTAATAATGACAATTTGCGGTAGTGAATTTTATATCACTTGGATCACCGTTAAAATTATTTGTTTTCACATCAATCCCTTTAAACTCAGGTGTATGAATTAAATTGATTTTTTCTAACTGCGCTACTTTTCCTGTAAACAAAAATATTACAATCAAATCTTGTGAAAATAATAATACCAGGTAGTGCTTACCCGTGAAGTAGATGTTTTCTTGAGGTATATAGTCTATTCTCTTAAATCCACCGCGAAACAATTTCGGTATCACATCATAAGACATTAAGTACCCATGTTTTAAAAGATATTTGAACGAATATCTGTGAACAATAAATGTTATCTATTTAGAATCGTAAAAGTCTTACAGAAATTGCATGTGCTATCTATTATTTAATTGAAAATTAGTTGTACCTGTATATTGTACATCGATATAAATAATAAATTCAAATATCTAATCTAAGTTTATCGAAAAGTTAAAAAGTGTATTCACAAGACATTACTGAGGGTTTCAGATTCCCATAATTTCAGAAAAAATGATTGGTTAAATATATATATATATATATATATATTAATAATGCGTTGAAAGTTATTTAATATCCTTGGTCATTAAAATTCGTAGCCTGACTAACTATACTTAAAAACATAAATACGAATTAAATTTGTTATTTGTTACAGGATTGGGTTCATAAATCGCCCGAATAGTATTTCTACTCAGATATCTTTTAGCTGACTATAAGTCAAGAATCTCTGTAACATCCAAGGGCACCATTAGATACTCATATTGTGTAATTAATATAGATAAATCGGAAAAAAGTTTATTTAAATTTGTTGTTAATGAAATAAAAATATCAATAATGACACATTTTTATAGTGGCGCAACCAGGATTGGTTTTCGGGATGGAGGGAGGGGGTTTGTGAATTTGGAAAAAATATAAATTTTCTGCAGGTTTTTGATAGGAATAAGAAAGTAAGATTAAATTAGGTTTATGAGTAAATATTTATGAAAATTAGTAAAATATTTAAATTATAAATTAAACTGTTTAACTTATATTTCATATTGTAAGTATCGACTATCAAGAAATCGTAGTAGTAAGGTTATTGATGTTTTAAAGTTGAACGGAACGTTACAAAAAGTTCCTTACTGTCATGCTATTATTGTTATCAATTATAATACGAATAATATTCATATTTTATATCAATCAGTCATTTCGTGTCTTCAAGATAAACCATTTTTTTTCTTACGTAAAATTTGTAAAAACCTTAGAAAATTTTCGGGGTGGGGAGGTCACAATCCCCGAACCCTTTCCTTAGTTTCGCCACTGCATTTATACAAGCAAATATTTTAAATTAATATTTTTCCCCAGCTTGTTCTAGAATATAACAATATTCTATCGTATAAAAGTAATAAGATATATTCTCTTAACTTCATAACTACATTGGTATTCTATGAAAAAAGTAATTTACAAATACAAAATACATTTGAAAGTAACTATAAATGGAATACTACGTTCAGTAGCTGTACATTGCCTGTGCCAAATGACCAATTACAATCACATTAGTGAAAAAGTCATAAAAATCAATAGTTAAACATTGCCCATAAGATTAAGTATAAATGGAATTGTTTTTCATTTAAATGTATAGTCAATGGTCGAAATGGCCATTCTTCACACATTGTGTACCTATAATTTTTTTTTTTTTTTTTATAATTCACATAAAGTATATTATCTTAGTTCGTGGCTCTAAATACGGATATAATACGAGTTGCGAAACGGCTTATACTAAACAATACGATAAGCCGGGCACCCGGTCCTGAATGTTAAAAACAATTATTTTCACTAAAAAAAAAAATGTCTTATATATAAATATAAAAATGATAAGTATATAATTTTAAAATACATGTCTTAGGAAGAATGCGTTATTCTAGACAAAACAAGTAGGATGCCATCCCTCCGTATCCCCTCCAATTCGAGCACTGTATATAGTTTTACATATTCTTAAATCTCAACTTTCACGACACATCATAATATACGCGGACCGATAAGAGACGACCTACGCCCCAACGATATTTTTTTAAGTTTCTCTAATAATGTTTTTGTACTCGAAATATTTCATAATAAAATTTTGATAATTACGGTGATTCGTTTTGTTCCTCGAATCCCCATATGGTATTGACTGCTTTGTGGTTTGTTTTTACGAATTTCAACATTGCTGGTACGTTGAGGATCACGTTCTCGTCGACTTTTAACACCATATTGGCATTTTTGCATTTTGTCATCAACCACTGCATCCACGATAACGCTTTTATTGACCCATAGAGAGCAGGTAAATCTTTTATGTTTGACCACACAATATCATTGTGGATACTATTCTCCGCGGTCACTTCATTCTTCATAACGGTGCTTTGTGGTTTTCCTAAGAAGAACACGACTCGCACACTTGTTACTCGGCTTACCCAATACTTGCACCACGTGTCCCGTATTCTTTTCCTCTGTTGGAAATTATCGGCCAACGAATCCACCAAGATCAGCAGATTTATTTTCTCCGTCGTATTTGATTTGTGGCACACTTCTGCGCCGTCGGTCATAAGAAAATTAGGTTTTAATTGTAATATACGGTTAGTTTTTTCATACGGTAGTGGATAAATGTTTCCTAAATTTAAAAATTTATTTTATTTACAAGGATTTTACAAAATTTGTTAAAACATTTTTGTTTATATTTTTATTTGGTGTAAGTTAATTTCATTTTGGAAATATAATTACACTTAAAATACAGAATCGCAATAATACATTATTGGGCATCTATTATTAATATTAATATTATTTTGATGGTGAATGTATATCTATGATATTTTATTATTTTTTTATTACTATGAGAACTTTTAATTTGAATATCAATTATTTTATGTCTTAAGTCTTAACGGTAGGCAATCTTTTATTATGTGAGCCAAAGAGCAGTGCCGTAAAAATCGGGTGTGCAGAAGGTGCAATGCACACGGGCCTCGAGCTTCAAACTATTTATTACGGAGCCTCAAAATGCCAAATGCTTAAAAACGTTTAATGATTAGAGGCCTCAAGGTTTTGATCGCACACGTGCCTCGGTGGTCTAGTTACGGCACTGCCAAAGATACTTTAGTTTTCAATATTATCATTGACATATTTTGATAGTAAATAATACAACATATTAAACATAACATTACATGTTAAATTCATAGAAAAATAAATGTATTTTTAGATTTTTAGTGAAGTAAGTTATGGTTTTTTCGAAAATTATTATTTATGATATATGTATTTTTAAAGAAATTTAATCACAGATTAGGAAATTGATTTTTAAACATAATCTTTAATATATTTTATCAAATTACTTTGATAAGTTTAGCATGTCTTACTTGGCATGTCCAGAAATTCTTCAGTGGTAGTGTCGACAGTAGAGTTGGTAGTGTCGACAGTAGAGTTGGTAGTATCGACAGTTGATGTTTTTTCCTCTGCTAAAAAAATATTTCAGTTAAAAGTCAATCAATACATTTGACTATATATAATTTTTAATGGTATTCATCACATTTTAGTTTCTAAATGAAACTAGAAATGTATTGGTATCACCATTATAAGTATTTATTTTTTTTGTGTCTGTGTGGTTTTTACAATAAAGAGTGTTCCAATCATTACAATCATGTAAGTAAAATACAGGAATCGTTGTTTATTTGGAACTTAATTAAGTAATTGCGGTAATTTTATGAATTTACTAAAAATGTTCTTATTAATTGCAAAAAACTGACGAAAAATTACAACAAAATAACGAATTTCGATTATACGATATAAGCTTTAGCTTTCAGAATTATTAAATCAAACTAGTCCAACCTGTCAAAAAATTTTCAATAGAGACCCGGCTTTTAATAATATTTTATTTAATTATTTTCGTAAAATGAATATTACCTGTTAGATTATGTAGATAATTGATAAATTTTTTATAATATTTGTAAATAAAACTGTCCTTTGATAGATTCCTTTGGAATGCGGTAGTAGAATTCGTGGATGTAGTATTCGCGATAGTAGTATTCACGTTGGATTGGTTTTGTTCCGCCGCTAAAATCAAAGTTCTGATGTAGTAATTAATACGTTTTATTATGTGAAATTGTTAGATGCTATATACCAAATTTATATTTAAAGTTCTAAGTTTTAATATTAATATTTATATATTTAGTACTATATTTAATACTAAATTAAATAATATTAATAATAATTATAATTAAAAAAATAATTTAATTTAATTATAATTTCTGGAATGTTTTTTGAAATGAATATTGTTTTTGGAAGAGATTTTGGTAAAAAATGTATACATATAAAGAATTTCATATTTATAAATTCTCGAAAATTCAAATTCAGAAAATGTTAAAAATGTAATAGTATTAAGAATACATACAGGGCCGTATTTAGAAATTTTACACTGGGTCCAACAATAAAAAACGCTTTATTATACCATATACAAATTTCTGTGAGTTGAAAAAGATCTTTCTGAAGACGATTCATTGCTGGTGTACACAAAAACATTCTGAGTGCAATGTCAACATAAGGATAGATTATTTGTAAATCTTTGAATCTATCAACAGTACTCAACCGTTTCCAAGTATGTGTGTGTGTGTCAGGCGTGGATCTAGAACTCAAATTGAGGGAGGGGGTAATTTTTTCGAAAGTACAAAAAGATAATACACAATTACAAAATAATAAAATTAAATTATTAATTCAAATTAGAACATTATGATTATATGAAACTGTTCATTTTTAAAATTAAATAACAAAGTTTAATCTTCATTGTTTTATTTTTCCAAATTTAGAAATAATATTATCAACATTTATGTGTATATTTTTGTGAATATTGAACAAAGCGTTCTTTTCCCATGTTTAAACGAAGCCATGAAAGCTTAAGCCTTAAAATGCCTGAGAGTAGAGAATGATCGCATATATAATTTTTTTTATCAAGTTATTAGAACCTAAATTAGCGATTAGCGGTAGCATAGCAAGTATATGGTATAATACTATATAAACATACGTGTAACGGATTGGGAGTAACCGAATGGGTTCCCGTTTGTGTACAGGTTAGGCGAGCCAGTGCATTGAGAGCAAAAAAACAAAATTTTAAAAGCTATATGTACGACATATAGACACAATTATAATATTGATAAGAAATAACAAATACTTGGAAAATTTTATGACTGAGTACATTAATAAGAAGATTACGAGAATTGAATATTTAAAGAAAGTTAGCTTCAATTTTGCAAATCAGTCGTTTTAAAATGTATTTATTATATTTTATTATTTCTATTTTGTACATCCAAGTGATGACTAGTTGACTTCCAAATCAACGATTTAAAATTGTATATTTTTATCATTTTTTTTTTTTTTAACATACATTAACGCATATTGACTAAGCCTACTTTAAAGTTGACAGTTTTAAGCCTGTAAAATTGAGAAGGAAAATGTGCGTAGTTAAACAGAAAACAATTCGGCTATACCTAATAAAATACCTTTTTCAGACGAGAACCAATTCGGCACGTGGGGTTGGAGCTCGGAAACCAATTCGGAACTAGCCAACGAATTGACAGTAATCTTATCAAGATAAGTTATCTTTCCGTCGAAGGTTGAACACTCAACAATTTCCGCAAATTTACTATTATATTTATATTTTTTTTGCCAACAATATTATAGTCCATCAGTAAGTTTATAATCACTATTAATATTCTTAGAAGTTGTATGGAAATTATGATTTTATGAACAAATGGTGATTTAGTTTAAATGTATATAAATATAATATGTTGTATAACATTTTTCTTGCAAGAAAAAATCTAATTGAAAAAAAATTAAAAACACATTTTATGCATATTTTAATTTTCAAATAAACACAAAGGATTTAATCTTGATGCTTTTCTAGAGAGGGGGATCATGACCCTCATGACCCACCCCCTGGATCCGCACCTGTTGTGTGTGTGTGTGTCGTGACGCCGTGATTGGTGATATATATATTTTTTTGAGATACACTTTTTATTTTGTAATGAAATTTCATTTCAAAAATATTAGATCATTAAATATTGAAAATATAAAAAATTATCCGCCTTCTCATATTTAGCCACTCGGGGCAACAGCACTCTGTAGCTCTCCCCTAAATATGGCCCTGAATACAAACATTTTATAACAAAATACATTGAATAACAAAATTAATCATAAATATTAATTAAGAAAAAATATATGACTTTTAACCGGTGGGGGTAATCTGGTCGAAAATAAAATGGCTGATAGTTAATGATCGAAAAAAGTGATTTCATCCGTTCGAACACATTTTTGATGGAAAAATATAATATCGAAAATTCAAGAAATTGAAATGTTATGTAATCGAAATACATAACTATCGAAAAATAAATATATTAAGTTATTATTAAGTAATTTAATAAAATATTAAAATAATTAGTAAAAGTATTAGTAAAATTATTATAGTATAATAATTAATAAGTAATTAATATTTTAAATATTGGGCTACTTCTCTTAAGTACTCTAATAAATCATAACTTGGATCAGTTAAGATTTTTTATTGCACTTATTTTATGCGTATATTGTGGGATTATACTTGAGTTTTTACGTCCAAAAAGTGACATATCAGTTATTGCTTCAGTTTTGTTTGAGTAGATTCTAATATGTTGATACATTTTTATAGTCCTACGATAGTAGATCTACTACGATAAATCTACATACGAGTTGCATTTATAAAAAATATTAGATAAAGTAATCGAAATTCTAATGATTATCTTTACTTTCACCAAAAAACCTATTCGGCCCCAAAACATTTCGATCATATTAATAAAATATTCAACCATTTGTATTATAAAACGATTTGATCATATAATATTTCGATCATATTTTATGAATCACTAAACCATCAACCAAATGGCTTTTGACCAATTGACTCACACTGCTGAAAACCAAATTAGCTAATAGATAAAGATAATTTATTCAAAATAAAAACTCAATTAAAGAACAAAGCATTATATAAATGTTAATTAAATCATAATTAATAATAGTATCTATCTAGAGTATAAAGTACGTTCTTAAATACGAGTATAAATAGGGAAATAATTAGTTAATAAGTTAAATTTAAGCTAAAAGTTTCATTTTTATGTTAACTATTTAACTTTACTAACTAGTTAATTTTCTAATCGACCTTAGAATTAAACTAGTTTAATTGACTGTTGAAATAACTTTTGCTTATCTTAGTTAACTTCTTTAAAATAATCCTACGTTATAATAATACAAAAATTACAATTATTACTATTACAATTAAGAATATTTGTAAACTATGCAAATTTTAATTATAAATTGTATTCATAAAAATATTTAGTTACACATTATATTGTTTTAATATTATATAAGCTTAAATTGCGATTTGATATAAAAATGAATATTTGTCAATTGAGATATTTATAGTTTTAATATTTAATAATCGTACCAATTAAAAGAAAGTCTATTAACTTTTTTAATACAAGTTAAATTTATGATTTGTTAACTATTAACTTTTAACTAAACGATATTTTGATCTCTAAAATTAACGTATCCACTTTTATCAATGTATTATATTATATGATATAAATTATTATTAAATATAAAATGAATTTACCTACTAAAAATTATTAAATATTATAAATAATATAAATAAAAGTTTTGTGCAAATAAGTTAAGTATACTTAATATAATAATATCATAAATTACAAATATATTTTAAAAATAATAATTACTTTCATTATTTTTTGTTTGATAATAAATAACCAGGAAACTTATTATATTATGTTAATTATATATTAACTCATTTTTTTTGAAAAAACAATGTATTTTATTATAGCTTTAACTCATACACTAAATTAATTTTTTTGTGTGTAAAATCGTGCCATAATTCTCAGTTATGTAATTTCATTAAATTATTTATAATCAGTGTATTTTTTATAGGTACCTGATGAACTGGTCGTAAATATTACAATACTCCAGATAAGAATTTTAATTTTTACATATTGTATTTATTTTTATTAATATTATTTACAATACTTAATAAGTTATTTGTATATTTATTTTTTCGTTTTTATTATAATTATTTTAATAATATGAAATGCAAAATAATTTTATTTATATATATATATATATATATATACATACAAATGTATAGTATTTAAAGTTTTACTAGCTCCATAATGTATGCAAAATTTTAATTAATCAGCTAACTATGTAAAACCTGAATACATAATTTACTCATAGGTCGTGTTTAAAATGGCAAAACCCACTAAAAGCACACATTCAATTAAATAATTTGTAAAATGTAAGCTATGTACATACCCGACGAAGACTCATGACACAAATAAAAAAATAACATAAAAAGAAATAGCATGGGAATCAAACGCATGTTGAAATTTACTAGGTATATTCTAATGTTAAATAGTTGAAGAGGAATTAAACACGTAACGAAACAACAGGAATTATCCACACAATTGTGAGACCGATTGAATGATCTATTTATACTAAATTGGTGACTTAAAATTATCGATTAACAACTTTAAATGCAAACCGAATCCATTAAAACACACCATGTAATTAGTTACTTTATATTACCTGTGGCACTACGCATCAGATCGTAAAATTATAATAGTTATTTCTTCGGAAAAAAAATAAATTATGATTTTATTAACTTGCGTATAGTGTGTCTTTTAGAATCAATTGCTCTACAAATACACACAAATAATATCAGAAAGTTTTACTAGGTGCTTATCTATAATGTATAATAATGATCGTTACAAATGCGTGTTATTACTTTTACGATTAAATGGCGAACTACAGAAAAAAAAATTATCGTTTTACAATTAATATCAAGCGTTATCAGTTGCAATTTTACGTATCAAGTTAAGTCAGAACATTATGGTACTCCTAGCTTCGTAAAATTAAAAAAAAAAAAAAAACAGTCATTACAGCAGTAGTACTAATGCTGTTCCTTCCTGCTAAGTTCCCATTTTTTCTAACTTTCGTACTAATTTCAGTAAAACAAGAATTAACAATAATAATATTATAGTACAGTATTCAATGTTAAAATGAATTAATTTATGATTTAAGTACATCAATTTCAATAATTATAACAATTTATTTATACAATAATATATGGAATTATAATTTAATTGAAGTCAAAGCGGAGACGACGATCATTTATGGTGATTTAAATCTGTATTTGATGTTAATGGACTTCATGGTGTATTTGGTAGCATACGGGTACAACAGCCAGTGGTGTAGTAAGGGTATGTATGGTGAACTGTGCCTACGCCAGGGACGCGAATTTCAAAGAGGTGCAAATTGTGCAGAAATCATATTTTTATCCTACAATTAAATAGAAATGTTTCCATTATACTTTTTGAAATACGTAGATGTTGTCTACTTGTACACATTACGTGTAAATTTAATGATAAAATTATGAAATATCATAAGGGAATTAAAATAAAAAATTTCATATGAAGAAATTATCGTTGAATTTGCCTGTTTTAAAGCGAGAAAACCAAATTTTCAAAGTTTAAAATTAACACCGAAATAATAAATTAAAAATATACTACATACTTAAAAAAATTAGTAAAATTAAAGGTTAAAAAAATATCATTATATCAAATTTTAATTGGTTAAAAAGCATTTTTTCCTAAATTTGCGAGGGGCGCTAGCGAGCCTTAGTACACAACTGTCGAAATAGACAGTTTCTTATGGAAAATCTTACCTGATTCAACTTATTGTACATTCAGTAGGTATACTGTGGCAATAGAGCTGTATGGCGTGTCGACTAGTGTCAATCCGCATAAAAGGAGATCGATTTTCTCATGATATTTTAAAATGTTAATTTTTAACATAAAACAAAATATCGTAAACATTTTGAACACTTTTGGTACAAGTTCTAAGTTTTTCGATATCATCATCCCCTTTTATAATAATCAGAATTCACGTCCGTATGATGTTATATCATTTGAAAGATAATTTAACGCATACTTAACATATATCATACCAATTTTGTTTAATTGTCTTATTAAACTCTTATCCTATATTCTTACTCTTGTTAACTTGTCTTGTTTCTCGACTTCTGTGCAAAAACTGTGAATATTCGTTGTGATAGAAACATATTATATTTTAGTACAAATTATGTATTATTGTTATGTTTATATTTATATGAAGAAGTTTAATAATTATGATACATTTTTATTTCAATTAACTAAGATTGTTGTTTGCAATATTTTGTAATTTATGATTGGTTTATTAAGTTTTTTAAAAATTAATATTTTATAACTCAAGAAAATAATACATCAAACATACATAAAATTTAAAGCATACTGGTAATTTATATTCAAATAAACATATTGACATGCCTAATTGTATTGTTTTTATTGTTATGGTTTAAATAAATATTTAGTATAGTATAAAATTTGTTAAGTTATTTTATTTTTAGATAAAATTATGAGATATGACCATACATTTATGTTTATAATTACAAGTGTTTTATATAAGTAATCTATAATATAATAATAACGGTCTCTTTAATATATTTATAAACTTTTAGCTTCTTTTTTTTTTTTTATGTACTTAATTAAATTTATTTATAAAGTCAAAACATTTTTCTTATCTTATGGTAAAAAATACAAGGAAGTCCATATTTTGAAAAATTTAAAAATATAAAAATTTAAAAATAAGTTTTGAAGATAATTTAATGAACGTCGTGTAGATAAGATTCTATAAAAAGTTAAATTTTCTTATAAGCATACATTATGCAGTAGAAAATGCGTTACTAAAAGTAACTAAGTATAAGAAAAATAGTGTAAAATTAAGTATTTGTACACATATGAAGATAGTTATCGAGGTGATATAAAACGTGGTTATGAAAAATGTGTGGATACTTTTAAACAAATCCCATGGAATGAAAGTTGAATAATGGATGAACAATTAGCTGAAGTAAGTTTTTAATTCTTTTATAAAATTTTGAAAAATTTAATTATGAAAGTAGAATTTAATAAGCAATAGTTTTTATACAATAATATTATTATTATTTGTTGTTGTTAATATTATCATCATACTCAGGGTCTATAACACATAATTTTAATACATTTTTAGAATTTTCGCTCTATAGATCCTTAAATTAAAAGTGCCAGTTTATCATCCAAGGTGCAAAGTTTTGACCCATAAACGCAAGACTTGAGGTATTCTCACCGTAGAGAGTAGTGTTAGTGGCTTTGGTTGGAGTGCGCATAAATTTTGTGTTTGTTTTCAATAAAAAAATTTTTTTTTTCGTTTTGCTTTTGAATGGAGCCATCGATTCTTGAGAATCAAAATGAAACCGGTTAATTTATGGTAATTATTTTTTATTTTTCAATTGTAGATAAATTATATTCAAATTTAAATCTAATATGTTTTATGAACAAAAACGTTTTTGATTAAAAATAAATATAAAATTAGTGTGTTTTTCAGACCTCCATACACATGTAAATCTCGACCAAAGATTTTCTCTCCGGTCACGTCATACCGGTGGACTTTTAAAAATAATTACAAAACACTACCTCAACTCATTTGCTTCATTTAGTCACTGCCATAATCTAAAATAACCCTTTTTGGGGCCACCACAAATTATTATTATTATTAGAACCCGACTTGCATTCGAAATGAGGGTCACAAAAACTAATATTTTGACAACCTCAGACACATTTATGGAAAGTGTCTTAACCAAGAATTTATATATTATGATTAGGGCTCGGAAGTTGTTGCATTTGCATGTTTTTTTTGCACGATTGGATTTATTGCTAAGTGAGCTAGAAATTCGTTCCAAGACACTACGAAAACCATATCAAAAATTTATAGTGCATATTTTTGCATATTTAGTGATTTTTAGATTTTATAGCATATTTCTTAACTTTACAATTTCTTAGAGCATATTTTATGATTTTTGAAGATTCAAAATGAAAATTCAAAAAAATAAAAAATTAATTAATTCATATTGAGAGAACTTTCTTAATATTCTTGTATTGTATTTTTCAAATTTCCATTTGACATTAAAAACAATGTTTTTCTCCTATTGGTTTATATAATATACATATATTTATAAATTATAATTACTGCTAGCTTCATCTAAAATAAAATATTATAAAAATATCAAATAGGAGCAGCTGCTATCGAAATACAATGATTTTCTATAACTATTTTTCTAGGAAATAATGATTATTGAACATTCTACTAGTGCATTTTATTTTATTCAAGAAACATTTTAATGCTATTTTATTATTATTATTTTTTTTTTAAATCAAAATTATTTTTATTACTTTGCTTTTTCTATATTTATAATTTTATAAAATATTTGTGCAAATGAAAATTTTGTGTACAAAAATAAAATATAAGTGCATATTTTTAGAGCATATTTGTACTTTTTTAAGCTCATAAGTGCATGCATATATAGTATTTTTTAAGTGCATTAAGTTCCGAGCCCTAATTATGATATTAACGAAATTAAAATGTTTTACCGTAACTGACCGTTATTATTTTGATAATTTGAAAAATAAATATTATACATTAATAATAATACTGACGAGACCTTATAAAGTTTTCAGTATTATATCATTAACTACGATTGAAATGGAACAAAAAAATTAATTTACGAACCAAGGTCTTGAAAATGATTTCAAATCAGATGCGAATTACCAATAATTATTTCAGTGCATATAAAAAATGCAGTTTTGACGAAAATACAACTCGAGTTACTATAATATTGAGTAATAAATAAAATATAATGACCTCATCATTAGAATTTCATTAAAATTATGTCAACAATTTGATAGTGATACTATATTATAAATGCTTAATAGATAAACAAATGTGTTTTGACTTAGTTTTAGATGTAGTATGAATAGAAAAAAATGGATACTTCACTCGTTTTATGAAATTCCAAGCAATAATTCTTTCCTAATATTTCGGTTTATAATACTTTACAAAATTATTTTTGAACAAGACCAATTTTTTGATCAATTTTTTTTTTAAACCTTTGGTTTGAAAGAAACCAAATATCATTGGATTATCCAGTTCTCCAAGTCTGTCTTTCATAGGGGGAACGACAACAATTCACATAAGAAGCCACCTGGCTGCGTTGCTTTATTGAAATATGTGTCACCGATTTTTTCTTTTTTTTTTTTACTACTTTTTTAACTAGGTCGAACATCAGTATTAGATGTCGATAATCCGGCATGGTATTTCCGCAGATCAAAAGTTATTGCTGGGTTAATATTAAAAGTTTTAATTTGAACGTTGCAGTTACGCACCGTGAGATTAATATTGAATTTTCGATTCATATATTTTAACAGAATTTAACAGGTGGACAACATAAGAAAAAATCCAAATAACAATATTGATAAATATTTAATTAATAATAATTAATTAATAATGATAACGACAATAAAGAAAAATAGATGACGACTGGAAAAAAAATAATAATTAAATTTTTTTAATAGATAATAAATAAATAAGTACACTGAGAATATTACGTTTAGTTCTCTAAACGGTAAAACGAATATATATTCACTGAATAGTTTTTATGGTATTCACCAATTCATTGTCATTGTAGTTGCTAATGTAATGATTTATACTGTTAGAGTAATTTAGAATTAAGAACGACTATGGCTCTTTTTTAAGTGGCAACATGATGTTTGACATATGAAAGACAATTGCAATAGGAGTCATTTTCTAACACAATTTTCACGATGAGTTCATAAAATTCCAGTATAAATTTTATCGGAATTGTATTATTTTAATTATTATATTTATAAAATTAATGATATTTGGTGTTGGTATTATATTTGGCTTCAGATGATTTTTATGGTAATATTTTCCTTGTGTTTTCAACATTATTTTTAGCTTACTTTCAACCATCTCAAATCTATCGTTTCCCCTTGTGTCATTACGGCCAGATCATCGACGTATGCAAAATGCTGAGTTTCTTCTCCGATCGGCTGATCATTTATATATATATTAAAAAGTATTGGTGCCAAGACAATACCTTGGAGAATTTTTTTTTTTTTTAATCCACTATCTACTCTTTCTACTTTGAAACGTTACATAAAATCTACGATTCTTCAGAATTGATCTTAATAGCTCTACAAATCCAAAGTCTTTAGTTGAGTCATAAACTTTCTTTTATAGCAGCGATTTCCAAACTGTGCACCGCGGTGCCTTAGGGGCACCACGACCATTTTTTAAGGGCACCGCGGTCTACGTACGGTTCATAACAAATAGTTTAAAATGTATAAAATTGTTTTTCCTTATGGTTTTCGTAAAAACTGTATAACAAATATTGTAATATTTTTTATTGTTTATTCGGATATTCTCATTTTAACCTTATAATAATTTTATATAATAATTATAATCATAATAATAATAATTTTATTTATTTATTTTTTAAATTTAAAAATGCATTAATTTATAATTAAGTTAAATTTTAATAAAATTAATAAAATTGGTTATCAATAGGTTTTTTTTTTGTTCTGTAATGTAGTTCACAGCAGGTCACCATGGGTAAATTGGGTTCAAAAAAAGGCACCATTGAAAAAAAAAAGTTTGGGAACCGCTTTTCTATAGTATACGATGGTTTACGATATCGTACATTGCGTTTAGATCCCAAAAAGCTGCCCCCGTAATCTAGCTCTTTTCAAAACCATCTTCTACATACTGTGTTACGTTTAAAACCTGTCCAGTACATGATTTACCTTCTTAAAATCCTGCCAGTTGATTAATCAACATTGTTTCTATTGTTTGTGATATGCAATTTAATACTAACCTTTCAAGTAGTTTAAATAAGTGGCATAGTAGTGAAACCGGTCTGAAATTCATAACCTCGTCTGGCTCCTTCTTAGACTTCAATAGGGCATATTCATGTATTTTTCTCCTTTCTCCGAGTATTACTTTTGATCTTACCACTTTATTGAACATCTCCAGAAGCCATTTTTTTTCCTAGGTCCAAATTCTTTTATTTATTCATCGACACCAGCTGCTTTTTTAGGTTTTAACATACTTAAAGGTAGATACCACCACGTGGTGCCGCTAGAAACGACGAGATAAAATGTATGTGCTCAAGAAAGACTTATTATGCTTCCATAGAGATTTCACCATTATTTTGTCAGCCAATTTTACCAAACCCGGTCATTAATGCAATTCTACGTTAAAAACAAACATGTACTAATTACAGGGGCCAATAGGGTTGAAATATTTAAACGTTATTTTTTTATTATACACGGTTTCTAAACTACTGAATATGCATGTAATATCTCACACAGCATTTGTCAATAATAACGAATGAAACAATATTAATATATAATATATTATATATGATTGGAATTTAAATATTTAAAATAAAAACTTTATGCAACATTAAATATATATATATATATATATATTTAATTTTTCATGTTGAATCTGAAACATGTTAGAAGAATTTATTAACATTTGAAAACAAATATTTAAAAATTAAAATTAAAATTTTAATGAAAATATATCAAATATTTCAATTTTTTTAAAAATATTTATTAAATATTTAATAAATATATCTATGCTATGTGGGATAATAGTATTTAAAAATTGTATGTACACATCAAAAAATAATATCAATTATATCAAGGAGATAAGAATAACGAGGTATTAATTATATATGCATATAGGTACTAAAACAAAATATTATGTTTATTATATAGGTTTATAGACAATATAGTTCTTAAATATTTTTCTAATCACATTTATTTTAGGAATATAAAATAATTTGATATCCAATTTATATTTCTACAGTTGCTAATAGACGGATCATTATGTATATTATAACACTTGATATCCTTGATATCAAAGATTTTCGTTTTCAAAATATTTTTATTTTAGTGTATATATATATATATACACACACACACATGTATATATATTTATACATATTACCTAAACATATCCATGACATGCATTAATCAACAATCAAACAACAATAAGAACTGCTATACAATTTGTTCTCTTTTTCTTTTTTTTATATAATATAATGTAACATATAAATATTTTTTTTTAATTTTTTAAATGCGTAAAAATTGACGTAACTAAACACATAATTAAGTAATTATCAAACATTTTTGAGCAAACTGAATGTGAACTAGATGTTTGGACGGGCTCTCTGTTTCGTGTACTTTTTGTCACACTCAATATGACTGTAGCTTCTACTAACGTTTTACCGGAACCGACGATCAGATTATACTCTCCACTGTGCGTTGGCGTCACCGATTGTATCGTGAGTGTGGCTACTTGGCAGTAGGAAGATGTAGATGACTAAAACATAATAATATCGATCAGTTGGTACGCTGCGGAATAGCAGTCCACGTGATCGTAGTTTACAATTAAATCAATTATTTACGCGGCACACTGACCAATACACAATTATTTATGTTACTGCATCGTCATAAATGCCGTACGATCGAATTTCGTACCAGTCATTTATATACATTTATTTAAAATTCTATAAATCAGTATGGATTATTGACTAGAATTATTAGAAGAAGTAATCGAATTATTGATTTTAGCATCTAATTGTATGTGGCACAGTCGAATACTGTATTATAATAGAGTTAATATTAAATACTATGATATTCAAATATTGATAATATTATGATCGTGAACAGGTTATAATGGCCGATAAATTGCATTCGGTCGTTAAAGGATGCACATTATTGTTTTTGCATGCATAACATCTTGTAATGTTTGATACATTTTATAGTTTAAATTATATAGTCTTACGGTATATTATATTATATTTACTAACACTGTACACACGTGCAGGGTAATAATACAGTTTATAAATAATTACGTAATAACTAAATAGGTAATAATTATTCATTATTTTGTTGTATAATACAAAAGTCACGGAAGTTGATCATTACCAACAACAAAAATATTTTTACTGTTCAGTTTTTAAATTCTGTATTCTACAACTTAGACTGAACACTTTTTATATTAATTTCTTTTAATTCTTACATATTTGGATCGAAAATATAGGTAAATAATATACAAATCAATTGCATTATAACATATACTAAGACTAAAAATATATTGTGTCATATATAATTTACCAAGGATTACAAATTAATTTGTTTTTGACCGATTTAATGTATTTTACTGAGTCACAACAATTAGCTATAATAAAAAAATCTTTATTATTGATTAAATCTAATTCGGAGTGTGTGAAAACGACCTAATAGTTTCTTTGAACGGGTAATTACATACTTAAACACGCGCAGGCAAATGTTAAGAAAAAGATTTGATCAAATTTACGCCACGCTAATAAAATGTCGAAAACACCGAAAAGCTTCAAATTATTGGTAACTTGGAATTGATGAAATTAAATTTAAAAAAAAACATTTAATTTAGTCATCGTCTAAGATGTATTTAAGTAGATATGTCATTAATTTTTCTAATAATGAAAATTTCTTCAACCGTGCTTTAGTAAAGTTGTTGAACATTTTCAATTTATTTTCAAAATTAAAATCCATCAAACCTAAGTTCCACAGTTTTTTCTAGCAGATGGCTTGTTATACATGATTATTTGTATCATCTGCAGTCTTCTTAAAAGGAAAACTTTATAGAGAGACAGATGTTGTGACTGTCCATTAAATACAACTGAATTTCATTTATTACTATTTATTTTTCCTTAAAAATACAAATAACCTATTGGCTATTTCTAATGGGCATGTTAGAAGGACATTTATTATTTGTGGCCATTATAAAAACATATTTTTGTTGTGTTAAGGTTATTAAATCCCTAATGGTAGTGATAACTAACATCAAAATTGATTATCAAGTATATCGTAGGTTATATTTGTAATGATTTTAGTTTCCGAACAAAGGGAAAAGTGTTTATAAAAATGTTTTTTTTTTTCTGAACATTTATTTGGGTGGTAACTGCACTAAAAATAATTGAAAGGTGGTCACGGATAAAAAATTGTTTTTTGTTTTTCTTTATAGTTTTTAAGTAGAGTTAAATATTTGCCAACAAACGTTTATAATTATTAATAAAAGAATTCAAAACTTTTGATCAATATATTTAGAAATTCCCAAATAATAAAAATTATTGTATATATTATATACGATTTATACAATTTATTTATTATATAAATATTGTATACCTATATATTATTATATGTATTTGCTTTTAAAACGTGTTTAAATTATAACTCAATACTTATAACATTAATACAGTTAATTTGTACGTACCAAATATGTAAGTTACAAATTATATTAGTAAATCTATCCAATATATAAGAATATCATATCAGTTAGTGTGACTTGCTAATCATATTTTTTTAAATTACAATTTAATTTTTTTTATACTCACAGTTATGCTATGGGCTGTAATTGGTCCTACAGCTGTTCCTGGTCTAATGACTTTATCACTTGCTATCCAAAATACTTTGTTTACCATCGGATTAGAACAAAACTCGGCTGATAATCTGGTGTCGTTTCCTTCGTGTGCAACAACAGTTCTATTTTCAGTGTAAATAACTGGACCTCCTGAAAATGTTAATCAAAACTTTTATTGTTAGTGTATCGTGTTCATTATAGAATAATATACGTACATATATATACGTATATAGTGATATTATATGTACTTGGTTATTGATAAATACAGATTATTGAAAGTTTATAGTGTATAATATAAAATATATCATATTTGAATTAGATGAAGAGTAATATAGCTTATCACGTCCATTCACTTTCAACTTATGTAGATTAAAAATATTAAACTTTTTAATCATTTTTTTTTTTTAGTTATTTTCGTGTTGACATTGAGTTGAGTTTTGTGTCAATAATATATTTAATAGTTAAATTTTGAAAATGTAAGAATAAGTGTAAGGTGAATAAACCTAATATGTATGTTCAATATCTGCCCAATAATATTACTCAAGTAGACCGAAATATACTATAATATATATTTATAATATATATATATATATATTATTATTAGGAACTCAAATCTGGTATAAAATTTAATCAGTATACAAATGGCTGACGTTTATAAATATATACGTTTTATTTTTTTTTTCAAAAACCAATATTATCAATAAAAATTAATTTTAGAAACGATCGATACTGTTTTGCAATCGCTTATAACATTTTTATACAGTTGTGTTAATTATTTTGGAAAAATAATCGTAATCAACTTGATTTTTTTCATTTAACATTTTTTTTTACTATATATAATAATAATATGATATTGATTTTAAGGAGTTTTTCCTTAGAGTGCAGTTATCAGTAGAAAAATATATATAGTAAAAAGTGTAAAAATACAATGAACTTGAAAGATGGTCCATTAGCCCTTGCTGTAGCTAATGATAACTTGTTCATATACAAATATTTATAAAACATTAAAAAACGATTGATTTTATTCGTATTTTACGGAAAAATATAAACGTGAAAACGCTTGGTTATTTAATTTGGTTATTTTAATTTTAATTTTAATTATTAAATAATAATTTTAATTTAGTTATTTTAAAAAAAATACACGACAATACCTAGTTACATATTTTTATATTAAATATTTAAACACTGGATATTTGGTCCTACTTGAGCAATTATATGGTCTTAAAAAAATACTACTTAATAATACTTAAGAAATGTTGTTTGCGTTTAATGTTTTGAAAGTACCAATACACTTTTTTAGATCAAACATTTTATTTTAGAGCAGTGAGTTGAGTGGAAAAGTAGCAGCAAAATAAACATGTTATACTTTTCTATCTCTTCACTTACTTTTGAATCGTCCAACAAACATCGAAAGCAATACGTATAAATTGAATAGATTTAAAATATTTAATAGAATCTTAGAACCATTGCTTTTATTTTCATTATTCTCTTATTGAATAGTATGTAAATTTTGAATGATTTAATTGGAAACGTGAACACACAATGCGTGTTGTAAGTATTATTACATGAATGCATTTCATTAAATTATTATGTCAACGAATTAATGATACATATTAAGTTATATATATATATTTCATTTACATATTTTTGAATATTTTAAGGGATTCTATATGCAAATTTTAATTAAAAAGAACTATTAAAATGGTAGAAAGTGTAAAAAACATATATAACTGAGCAAGTACAACACTTTAAGGTTTTATAAATCTTATAATAGTATCAATGGATTTTCACTAATCGCCTTTTGATTGCTAGTTAAACTGATTTTTATTGTATTTCAAACCTGACAATGTACTTATCTTAACATAAATACTATGCGATCCTAATTAATCCTAACTCTCAAGACTTGGAAAAATATTGAGTAGGTATATATATATATATATATTCAAACTTGTACGTAATACAATACACAACTTATTAACGTGATCATTATATTTTTGTGTGCAACAAATTTTATTATATATAAAATTATTTTAAATGTAAAAAGTACATTTATATTTAAAATTTAAAAATATTTTATAACTAGGTATAATAAATAAAATAAATACTGACCAACAACGTTCAAATGAAGAGTATACACGCGGAGCTTTTCTAGATTTTGATTTTTACTACCAACAATACATTTGTATTCACCAGCCTCTTGATATAACACTTGATCAATGTGAAGACTGCTACTTGGGCCAATTGGTTGTAGTTCGTTTTCGTTGCCAGTCTTTGCCCAACATGGTATTGCAGTACTAGGTCCCGACGGACATTCCAATTGCACCTCACCACCGACGGTTACCTCAACAGATTCATGGGAACCAGCATTATCTTCTTCGATTAATTCTTTTCGGACCGATTCGAGTTCGTTCGAATTGTCTAAAAAGCGAAACGATTCTTTTAAATTGATTAATAATAGTTGATAACTATAGATAGTACCAAATAATATATTAATATTATAAATGATAGAAAAAGAATCATGCATTTGCTGTATTACTTACATCTAACATTTAAAAAATAACCAATTGACGAGTATTCCGATAGCAAGTGCCTGCTTGTGCATTTATACCAGCCACTATGGTTTCTTCGTATTGATGAAAAATTTAAAAAACCATCATCAGTTTGAAGAACAGGTGGCACGCTATCATCTAATTAAAGAGAATATATTTAGTTCCAATTTTATTTCAGGATTTGTATTCGGAATACCTTTTTGCCAGACAGGAGACGACGGTGGATTGGAATCTACATCGCATTTTAGAGACACTGAAATACCTTCTCTAATAGGTATTCCAAATCCAGGAATTCTACTAATTCCAAAAGAAGGAGTATCTATAAGTAAAAAAAGAACATTTTAAAATTATGTCATATGCAGAAATATTGAGTTATTGGAACTGTTTAAATAACTAGTTTTGCTTAAAGTTGGAAACTAAAATTAATATTTATTTTATGTTATATTATATATTATTATACACTTGTGTCTACAAAATCTAAAACCGATTTATATTAGTATGTATTTATGTACGTATTGATTGAAAGAAAAAATAACTTACATTGAACATCAAGAAGAATAGAAGTATTCAAGGGGTTAACAAGAGTAACATGTGTAACTATACATGCCACAGTGGCATTATGATGAGCTCTAAGAACTCTTTGAATTTTCGCTGAACTTCGACTAACATCTTTTTCTTGGTAAGAATCGTTAGACTGCAATAATCCGGAAGACATTGCTTCATTTTCTAAATTGGAATTACTTGGAAACAGTAACCAATGTAAGGACGGAATTGGGTTTCCACCGTCAACCACACACTCTATACTCAAATCCATATTTTCTTTTACCGGTACAAACAAATTTCCTGGATCTAAACGATGGCCGTCTATTAATAAGTAAGGTTCCTTCGGGGTTTCTAGAAAAATAAAAAACTTTTACTATAATATCTAAACTATAAAACTATTATTATTTTAAAATAAAAAATAAATAAATTAAAACATTATACCTAAGACTATTAAATTAATTGCTCTGGCCAATTGTTTATCGTTTACACATTGCCATATTCCATTATCATCGAGTCTTACATTAGTGATTACTAAAACTCCTGTGTTATGGTTTAAGCTATAACGATGTCCGAGATCCACACTCTTCCCATTGTGCAGCCATCTATTTTAATTTCATTAAATTTGTATTATTTATTATATGTTTTTATATTATAACTACTTGTTTAAAATAATGTATTTACGTATTACTATTTATTGATTTTTATTATCAACTATTCTATTTCATTGATTAATAATAATAGTAAGTTGTACAATCACTTATAGATTTTCTCGGCTTATTATAATAAGAAACTATGGTTACATTTAAGTAGGTAATAATTTTACTGCGTATAATGAGTATTAAATAGAACTATTTTTTTATAATTAAATAAGTATTGAATTATATAGAACCCTTATTAATAATAAATTATAATACAATCGATATAAAGCGGCAAAAGCTTTATAGTTATCCGTAATATGATTATAGTTTATAATATTAATATTGAAGTTACAGTATGTAAATTATTATTTCTGATTTAAATCTATTAATGATTTATGTAATAATAATTTATAATAAGATTATACCCTATTAATATAATATATGATATAGCACATTAGTATATATGCAAAAACATTTAGGAATTAGAGAATTCTAATTAAAATTAAATACGTTCCCTTAAACCCAAAGCGCTTTTGTAAATATTTATGTTATTATTGAGTTGTGAATTTACTTAGCGTATTGTAAGAATATACTCACTTTAGTTTCATTTGTAACCAATTGGACGTAACATTTAAAGCGGGTGAAATTCCGCATGCTAACTTAACATCTGAAAGAGGCCAAGTTAATTGCTCTAAAGGGCTCAAAGTACTCAGCCCGGTGTTGTCTCTTTGTTGGTGATGTCTCAAGATGTGGGTCATAGTTTTGACATCTGTAAAAACATAGACACTAAAAGTAAGTATTTTTAAAAAAAAAAAAATTTACAAGTGTCAAATTAAAAGAGAAAAAGTTTTTGATGATGTGATATTATAAAATACAACCTAAATTGTATTTGCATAACAGTGATAATACGTAAATATAAATATGAGGTAGAATACAATTAATGCAATTATTTATACATTTATGAATAATAATAATAATTTATTAAAAAAATCTATCTTTATTCAAGTAGAACGATAAGTCAACATAAAATATTCGTAATTACAATACCGGATTCAAATATTTTTGGAGAAGTGAAGAAAAAATATTGACCTTTAGAAAGTTAAATAAAATACACTATAACAAGGAAATAATTATGATTCGCATTTGCAATCATTTTTATTTTTAACATTAACGTCTTCAATTATTTATCTATGTTGTTTATAATGTTTAATAAACACGAATTATTTCCTAAATATATCAGTGAATAAAAGGTTGAATCATATTCCTGTGTTTGTCAGTATTGACGATTAACTGTATAAATAGGTATTGTCTAGTTAAAATAAGGTTTAAAACCGTTTAATGCCGAAGTGAAGTATTGAAATATCTAATACAAAATAAATTTTAGTTTTAACAAAAAAAGAAATTCAGCTTTAAGAACATTAACTGGAACGGATACCCCGGAGTAAGTATACATTAACATCCCACTGTTATAAAAGATTTAATGTGTTGGAGACATTTAAGACTTCATAATAAATTAAAACTAATAGAGTGTATGGTTTCTTATATACCAGCATGTTTATTTGATAGCTATTAGAATTCGTGTAGAGATATTAAAATGATTTAAACATAAAAGGATAACAGTCTATGTATTATAGTTCAACCGTACTATTAAGATGATTGAAATACAATAGAAACATTCTAAACCTACTTATTATTAAAATTAAAATGATTTTATTTTAAGTTCTAAGTAAAAAAAAAATATATATATATATTATTTATGAAAATTCAACTATAAAACTAAAATTATTAACTACACAAATTACATTAAGCCATTTTTGGATCATTACTTTCAATAGATGAAAAAAAACTAGAACACGGGAAATGGGTTTTTGGCACTCATTTTGGCTCGATCGAAAGGTATATTTCAAAATTAAAAGCAAGGAAAATTCATATTGACGGTTTTCTAATTTTGTATGCTATTCATAAAAAATATTTTTCATATAGATGAATGAATTTATTAATTTTGTATTCAAATCTACAAAGCTTGAAATCCAAAAAAATCAGTATTTCATTAAAAAAAAAAATATAAAAATTATTTGATAATACTTTTTGATTCTTAAAAAGCTTAAACTAATTCAACTGATTTTCAACGGTTTCGGAAAATGTTTTTGTAAAACTTATTCTTCTGCAGTGATTAAGTATATACTTAGTATAACATAATCTTATATTTAATACTAAGATTTATACTATTGCAATTGATAATACGTTTAAAATTGAAATTAAATAAAAAAACATTATTGCGAGTATATATTATATTTTAAAAATAAATTTTTATTTTTAAAACGTTAAAATCAAATGAAATAAAAATGCAGATCTGGGATTAATAATTTTTAATTAGATGCAATATAATAATGAACGTACATTTTTGAAAAATAACTAATATAGTAAGTTTTAGTTTTTTATAATTTTGTAAAATGGCTATTCTTAAATCAAAGTATCTTGTTTGTTTACAAAAAAAATTTGTAAACAAATTTAAAATCTTATTAGTCCTAGAGATTCCCTTTCACATATAATAGTTAGAACCAGTTAGTTTTCTTTTTTAAAACTTTTTAAAAATCTATTTTAAAATGTAATAAATTACTTTTTCACATGGTATTATTTGAGATCAATGTAAAAACCTATTGTAACCTTTGGGATTACATGAAACTTTTAGAGCACTCGTTCTACTGAAAAATGTGTTACGGGCGTACTAAAATTCATCACTAGATCAAATAAACTATAAAACTAATGTAGAATATTTGAGCAATAAAATGTAATCTGTAGATTATCTATACTACATAATAAATGTATTTTTCAACATTCTTGTTAGTTGAATAAATTTAAATTCAAGAGTAAGCGGTTTACTCTACGTTTGTTACCCTTATTTTAATTTCTTAATAAACATGATGCTCGAACATTATATTCTTATATGTTACCAACGTGTATATTTTTATAAAGTAATAAACAATTAAATCTAGATGAAATAAATCCATCAAAATCACATGTTTAAAATAGCTCGAAGAAATAACACGCGTTTTATTCTGAAGAAGTTTCTTATATAGGAGACGATATAGAAGTTTTTGGTTTTCAAGTTAAAGCTCCTATTATTAAATTTTCTACGGATAGTATTTTTGCACTATACATTAAAAGTTTTAAAACACCATATAATTTATTACTTTATCAAGTATATTACAAAAATATATATGTCTTTCTGTTTGATAATAAAATACGCACCGATATACAGTTGTCGATACAAGCTTAAGATTGGAGTGTTAAGTATAATTTATTTTAATGTTTTATAAATTTTTAAAATAATTTTAAATTCAAAATGCAAAAGTAAAGATAAAGTCAACACTCAACTATTGAAAATGTTGAACGCTAAACTTTGTACAGCTAGCTAAATATTATCTGACTCTATTGATAGCGACCCGAAAACTGAAAATTGTAAAAATTATTATGACACAAATAATAGAACGTGATTCTCCGTTACTTAATTTGAGTTAATTTCTCTGTAAAAATCTTTATGAGAATTCTTTTATTAAAAGACATTGCGTAATTCGTGTTTAGACTAAATGTGAATTATAAGTAATTAAAAATAAATAGTAAAGTAATTAATAATAGGTATCATAGATATTAAAGTAAAAATTATTCAATGTATTGATATAAATTGAATAATTTACATTATTCATGGGGCTTCATCAGGAGACAAATCGGGTATTCACCTCCTCCTTTTTTCCCTTCATATTGTTGTTATTTATTATTTACTAGGAAAATACATAAATGTGAATACGTTTATGAAGTTCGCGCCTTCCCTATAAAAGGGTCTAGAGATATCATTGATGTATGTTTAATAATTTGAAGCTGAAATTTGAAAATGAATATAATAATAATATATAATGTACAAGATTTTTTTATAATATTATATTATTACACATAAAGTCGTCTCAGTCGAAAATCTCAAAAGATTAATAATTATCTTTTAAGGGAATTTAACACATTTTTTCATCTGTACCTGTATAGATTCCGGTTGAATGATTTTTAATCAAACAAATTTATAATTTTAAAAACGTTCAAGCGTAAATTTATTTCAGACATGACTCATACTATCGGTTTTATGGCACCGGAACCCATTAAAAAAACCTAGACAATATCGTACAATGTTACTCGAAAATGATCACAGTGCATATACTACGTAGCAAGCTTGGCATAAAATGTTAGTCACATATAGAAAATGGATGTTTAGATTATTCGTATTGACATTATGACTATCACAGGGATCCCTCTTCTGGGCGGAGACCCCAATGGGCTGTTTTATTGCCAGTACTTTATATTATGTATGTTACAGCTCTTAATCATCTGCCGATAGAGGGGCATTTTGGTCTTTATATAAATACGCGTGTAGTCAATGGGAAACGTGGTAGCCGTTAATGCTGACTTCTGATTTTCAAATAAACATAAAATATTGTAGTCACTGTAAAACATGGTGTTGTATATTATAACGAAAGTGAACGCGTACAATACGCACCGTAGGCATTTATAGACATTTGAAACGAAAAAGACGCCGATCAGACTTCATGGAAATTAATAAATTTAATTCTACAATGTGCATGGTTTCAAATTATTGAAATACCGGAATATAAGAGATACGAAACTGAGAAAGTTGGTTATTCAACACCGTCAGCTTTCATACTTGAATAGTACGAGGGTGCCTTAGTTAACAGCTTACAAAAACATTTAAACTAAAGTAATAAGATATTTAAAATAAAAAATAGAGCAAGAATTGTATAATGTTGGTATCATGTAATTATAGTAATATGCGATTAATTAAGTCGTATACCCGAATTTTATAAAGAAAAAAAACCTTCCACGGGTTAGCGTACGTACATGTATAACATTTGTGATACCAAATGAAACAATTACTTTGTATCTAAATATTCTAAATTAATAATTACACATTGGAATAAAAACACATTTATATGTACGCATTTAGCCGTTGATAGCACATAAATTATAAACCATAAAAAATCAGACTCTTGATTTATATGCGTATGAGTGTATAGTAGAATGATAAGTACAATAACTTTTAAGTATGATGGGTAGTAGTAGTTGGAAAAATGTTTTCAACAGAGCCTTGAAAGAAGAGTGCTAAATAAGTAACAAAAAAATTTTTATAGTTTTGAAACATAAAGGTAATGCAAAAGAATGAGAAAGTTGTAGAAAAATTAGGTTAATGAGCCATACAATTAAAGTTTAGGATAAAGTTGTGTAAAGTAGATTAAAAACTTTAGACGACTACTAAGCGCGTGACTTTTATACCTCGATCTTTTGCAGCTGTTGATATTAATATATTGTGCGCAATATAACTCCAAGTCGATTACAATAAACATGATTATACCTATCCTATTATGTATAAAACAGTTCGAAATTAATTGGATCAGCGATGTTATATAATGCTTATTTAAAACATATGTATGCTTATGAAGCTATAGTTAGAATAATAATTAAATTGTTATTGTTATTAACTCATATTGATTTCGACAATCATTTTGTATACCTATGTGCAGAATGGAAGAAACATTTCAAAGGAATCTCGATCATAACTTCGAAAACAGGCGTTATTCAACACTAAGATTCGTTTATTAATTATTTTCACTGAAACCGTAGGAGTGTACACCATTCGGGACAACCTATTGATTTGAATTAACATTTTTATTTTATTTTATTCTTGAATGGTAACTATGAAGTTATTTCTTAATATTTTTAAGAAAAAAATATTTTTTTATTTTCTTTAGAAAAATACTTTTTGCTACATTTAACATATCTTTAAATGTTGGAATTTTATATCTACTGATTTTAAATTATATGTGGATCATTGTTGTGCAAAGACTAGCAACTACCGAAAAATGATGTAAACCAAAAATCATACTGAATAATATGACTTCGAACATTTATATCGGCAAACTAAATATAATGTGATAAAAAGAAACTCTATTAAATGTGTCAGAAGAAATATTTGTATTAGATAAAATCAAGAAAAAAAGTGAACATTCTTTTCAAATGAGGTAAGTATAAGTCTTAAAAATAATATACTTATTATAAGTTTATTATTACTATAAGTAAATATTTTTGGTGGGTTGTATCATTAAATTGATTTAGAAGTGAATCAAATAGACATAAAATTGATCATTATCCCATCCAAATTTAAGTTGATTATTTTAGTGTCTGTAAAGAATAATAATTTTATAACGAAAAATTTAAACAGAAAATTAAGAGTACATAAAATGATTACATTTTGTGTTAATATTTAAAAATGTAATGATAAAATTCTTGAAATGAGCTTTCCAATTTTTATATTTTAATAGATTACAAATGATATTTTACATTTTGGTAAAGCTATGTCATTTAAAAAAATAAGCAGATAAAATAGTATTTATTTATTTTTCATAATAAATTACATGCATTTAATTTCCAACAGTTTGAAAAATAATTACTTGTAAAATATTTATATACCATTGTAAACTAATTGTAAATTTATTTCTTGTTTCTTATAATATAAAAGTAATTAAAAAAGTTCGAGTTAAAGTGAAATGTATTAGAAATTAAAAAAAAATCTTATAAATTGATCAATTTATAAAACGATTAATATTGACTTAAGAATGATAGAAACATTATTCTTGTTAAAATAAGAGACCCTTAAGTATTTGACAAAGTATAAATGAAAAAATATAATTGCAAATAGTGAGTAAATAAAATAAATAAATAACTAAAACACAAACACAAACAATAGTAAATAAATAAAAGAAATTGAAAATAATACGAGTAAACAAAAAATGAAATCATTAAGTAAATGTATGAAGTGAAACAAAGCGAAAAATATTAAAACTAACTTGATAGAAACTATTCATAAACAATAATACGAGTAAGTAGTTGGATTTTTAAAATAATGTGAACGTTTATTGTGAACATTTATACATACTCAGTTCATGATAATTAAAATACACAAGTGTTATTTTTCAATGACTTTAAATTCTGTTAAAAATCAAAATTATTTTAACAAAAGTATTTTGATTGAATTTAAATATATGAATAAATTAAACAACTCGTTTTGTACTTACCACCAATAAATAAGAGAAGAAGTATAGTGCAGGTTATAAAATCCTTAGTTTTTGATCCAGAAGCGTACGGTAAAAGTTGGTTGAAAGAATTTAACTTCATTTTGTCAGAATTTGAAGTATTTGAACAATTCAATAGAACACATATATCTCCTCACTTCCTAATAACAAAAATACAATTTTTATTTTAATGTAAATAGATTATATTTTTTCCAGTTACTGAAAATCGTTAAAAAAAAGTAAATTGAGTTTTTGGTGAAAATTTTATTTGAGAGTTTTTTACGAATAAAACATTTGATAATAAATAACCAAGTGTATACATTAATATGATTATTTATTTAAAAGTTATGATTTTTTGAATGATAAACTTAATATAATAATAAAATAAAAATACAATTATTATTTTATCATAATAAATAAATTAAATAATAATGATATACGAATAATACTCGTAAATACTTAACAATTAGAAATATAACGGTTTATCTATACTTATACTAGTGAAATTTATTATTTTCTTATTAAAATTATAAAGTGCATGATGAAAAGTACAGTATGCCGAAGATAAATATATCAAAATATCTTTATTTTATTTATTTACAAGTTTAATAGTTAAAAAGAATGATTAACCTTAATGTAAAACTAAATACATTCAATTTATTATGCATATATATGGTTTATTAGATTTGAATCAAATTTCTAAATTGGTACTTAATTATTTCTAAGATTATATGTATGTATATATATACATATATACATAATATATATTCATTGATTTACCTACTATGAAATATCGTTTCCAATTTGAGTCAATGTTTATTTGCAAAAAATTAAACAATGACTAAATTATATGTATTTTTAGTAACTTATTTATAAGTCTATACTTAAATTAGTATTTTTTATCTGTAATAAAATTACTTAATTTATATAATAAAATAATAGTTGGAAAATGTAAGTAATAAAATTACTATTGTTCTCAGAAAGCCACAACTAATTGCTATTGAAAATATTTATCATATCTAGTTTTTACCTAAAAATCAATAGGATACTATTTAAAATAAAGTGGTCATTAATACAAGGTGTATATGAAAAAGTGTTGGCACGGGAGATATATGAAGAAATATCCGAGATCATTTCGAGAGCAATTATGAGCAATTATAAAGTATTGTAAGCAACAAACCATTCCGAGTTCAGCCATAATACTATACACAATACCGAATATATAATTTCTGCATATTGATTTTATGTTAATTTTTGTTAAGTTCCGGAAGAATAATTACATTAATATTAAAATTTAAATGACACATTTAATCAAAAGCAAAAGAAAATAACTATTGAATTTGCCAACAGTCCGTTAAAAACAGTTTTCATAATATAATATGTATAGTAATAAATATTTAAAGTAAATTTCAAGTTATTTGTTTAATATTGTTTTTTTTTTTAATTAAATTATACTAAAACAAACTTTTTTTTTTTAACGGGTATGCCAAACATTTTTATAATTCTATATCATTTTGGTTTTTTTCTTGAAAACTATCGAAAAGACCACCTTGAAGTACCATCTGTATTCAATTTTCATCCGATCGATAGGGCTATATGATATTTTTAAAGCACTATACGAAAAAAGTATTAACCGAAAAAAAAGGACTCATTATTGTAAAATCAATACATTTCTAGTTTCGCTCAAAATCTAATAAAAAAATAGTTGAATTCCCTTAATATTATAACTATGTTATAACTATATAACGCTATCAATAATTTTAATTCAATTATATGTTTGAGTTCGTAAAAAAAATAATAAATAAAAACGAATAAGATCGTAAAAAAAAAATAATGATATTACGAAAGTAATTTTCTCCGAAGGAATGACTGGGATCAAAAGAAAAGTCATATCATTCAGTTTGTTTTTGTTGAAGACGATATTGGATACATCTGCATTTTATATTGGATTTATTGTACTAGAAATTCCGTCATCATTTAAATTAAAAAAATAATATTTATTTACCTTAGTTGTAGGTTAGAATTTATATAATTTGTAAAATAAACTAAAAATTTAACTGTATTTTATAGATGATTATACAATAGTATATTGTATATAATTAATATTTATTTTTAAAATGTTTTTAAGTGTTAGAAAATAATTTATTAAATATGTATTATTTATATTTACTATAGCCTTAAAGGTACCTACGTACTTTAGACCGATTCAAAATTAATAATCATAATTATAAACGTTATAGTTAAAATGGTTATCACATTGTATATATATATATGTGTGTGTATTATAATAAACCTACATAATACCTAAAATAACGTAAATATTAATATATATTTATGTTTATACTGAAAAGCAATTTCCCATGCGTCTTTGCAGTAAAAATAAATATATATTGTACAATGAATTCTTCGTTGTACGGTATTAATATATTATTAATTTATTTATTTCCCCAATAACAATTTGTTCATCCGAATTCAAACAAAAATAAATGCTATAAATATATTTTTAATTTTAAAATATTGACAACGTTGTTGATTATTATACATTTATTTTATATTCCTCATGAATTACGTTACAAATACAATTTGTAATATTATATATACTTTTCTATATAAAAAGTATGCTAGCATCTTTACGTAATATGCAATATTTTTTTATGGCTATCTAGAGTCTGAATTGAGCCATTATAATGTTCGTAGAAGTAATATTTATACTTTTCTTGAAAGTGTTCTTCACTGCATTTTATCAGCTGTTGTTCAGATATAAAGGAAATACTGTTGGTAAGACAAAAAAATTTTTTTTTCTTGGTTCATTTCTATATTTTTATCCTTTTCGTTGAACTTTCAACGGTAACAGCTCGTTGAGAATAAGATTTCGAAACACAACAAAAATTCAAAAAGAAGCTTAATTATAACCCATAAAATAAATGGTAAAATGTTTTAAAGTTTATAAAAACAAAGTCAATATTGTGTCAAAATTAATTTAATAGTTAGCAAATTATTTTACTTAATCTTGTTAAGACAAAAATTCCAAGAACTAATTATAATAAATGATAATACCATTATAGGTCATAATATTAAAATTCATAAATAATTTTGTTTGTCAGTATATATTAAAGATTCAATTATGCGTTTCGTGTGCAAAATATAATAATAATATATAAGCTGATGCTTTCTATTTTTTGATTTATTATATTGAATTGGTAGTTACTCAATTAGTATTCTATATTTATAATCATATATATATATATATATATATGCAAAAAATATGTGTTATGTTTTTTAAAGAGTTTTCACTGAGACAAAAAAAATATGCAATGCCTGCTTCTTAGCACTTCTACGCTACAAATTATCACCGCAACAATCCCATCATATTATTATGAATGACCATAAAAATTGATAGAAAAATAAATAAACTATAGATTTTTTATTAGAACAATTATAATGAATAATTTTATTAGAGTCTAAATATTAATGGTGGTTTCTTCTTCCAATAAAATTATCACTTTGTGTAGGTTATCGATATTGAATATTATTATCAGATATTGAAAATATATAGGTATTTAATATTTTTTATACATTTTGAGTTATTTTATCAATTTTATAATTTGCATATTTCATTTCAAACCCTAAAAATCATAAGACAGTAAAGCACTAAATCAAAATAATGATAAACAGTGAAATACAGTAGAAACTAGATTAACCATCACTGATTGGACCGGGACTATGACGGTTAATCGAATTGGCGGTTAACAGAAATTTTGCAATAAACGTATATATTTTAAAACATGTGTACTGTATTATAAGATAAAAATAGTATAACTAAATAATGCATATTACATACCATACTAAACACTAATAAATTAAAACTAACAATTTTAAAGAAAATAATCTTTTATTTTCTTTTGTTTTTTAACTTTCGAGCTTTTTTAGCAGCAATATTTCGTATTTCACGTAGCCGTTAGACTGGCTTACTCGTCATTCACTAATTAAATTAAATTAAAAATAATTAAATTTATTCGTTCACGTCACATTAATTGCATATGTTGGATATTAGAAAACCTTTTTATACGCTTGATAGTCGCAGCAACGAGTTTATCGCAATTATAAGGTAATTTATCGTCAATTGCGATGACGGATAACAGAGAGTGACGGTTAATCAATTTTCTACTGTAGGTTAATTATTTAAAATTAGTTCATTATTATTATTTTCAAAAGTTAATATTTTAAAATTACATAGTTAAGGTCACTTATAGGTATACAAGGTTTTAATACAATCCGAAACTCCAAATGAAAAATTCTGAATCTTATGAGAAAAATCCAATAATACTTATCAAAGTTATTTTTTTCAATTTAATACTTCCAGGACTATTTTCTTAGTAGTTATACAGCTTGAACAATAAACTCACCATAAATATTTCACAAGTTATTACTAATGGGTAAATAAAAAAAATTAATTATTAATGTTTGCAAATACAAAATCAATATAACAAATGAAATATGAAATGTATTTGACTATTATAATAAATTACAACACCGATTTTTGTGATAATTTACATTTTACATTATACTACGAGTATGTATATGTTTTCATTATTTTTTTTGTCTCCATAAATGTCTTACAATAACCTAAAAATCAATCGAATTACCTTAAAAAAGATTGTTGGGAAATATCAAATACATGCCAATCTAGTATACATTTTTTTTTATTCATCTACTGTAGTTATTTAATTCGTAATTTAAATTATTTGGAAGTAAATGGATGGGCTTTTGAATTATTGATTGGGTGACGAAAACTAACGTAACCTTTAATATAAATTACATAACATTATATAAATTTGCATAGTAATTATATTAGATATCAATTTTATAATAGAATTATAATAGATATTTTAAAAACCATGAAATATCATAAAATCTAGAAAACTAGTAATATTTTTTTTAAAATATTCAAGAATATTTTGAAAAATAAAAATATGCCAGGTTCGCTAAAAACAAATACAAATTATCTACACTTTGAAGTTTTTCTTGTAGATATCGAAGAACGAAAGTTTTTAAGAAATATATAAGTTAATAATATTTGTGATTATATTGTATATATTTACGGGAAAAAGAACCATTAAACTTTGTAAAGATATTTATGGTTATGATATATAATAGGCAA